AAATTTTAAAGGTCACCAAATCAGTTAGCTTTCGTAAGAGAAAGGCAATCTAGTAAGTTTAAATATTATTTATTTGAAAGCATTCTTCGTACATAAATCAATGCATAGATGTTACGTCGTGCACAGACTAGGGTTCCAAACACGATTTGGATTTTTCGTTTTATTCAAAATGGCCTTATACGAGTAATTGGGTACCATTAAAAATAATGAATGATTAACTACCAAACGATATTTCGCTTAATACTAACGCCAATTTAACGTTATACTGTGATAAGATTGTAATAGTTTCATTTGCTTATAATAAATACGAGTAGTATTATGAGGCTGAACTAAATGACTGGTACATTAAAAAGTTATTAGTGAAAATGATTTCCACATACTTTGTCGCACTAAACAGTCATGGCATCGGTCAGTCCAGTAATCAATAATTTGTACTTCTGCTGTCTATAAAACTAAGTTATTGTGTCCGAAACTCGGCTATAACACTGAGGACACTTTCGAAAACTCAAGAGTATTCTGTCTCCACTTCATTTATTAAACTGGACAATAAGAGATTCATTAATATGCACAAATACTGATGACAATGAGTCACATGCCTTATTGAATGTTAGATCTATCGAAGCGTCTAGGTCATCCGATTGAGAAACGCGCGAAACCGAAGTTCCAAAACAACGATTTGTCTACAATAGCGGTTATTTATTGAACAATACACAAAATTTAGTTACAAACCTCAATTTGTGAGGCGTCTAAGGCGTTTAAACGCGTCCTTCAAGTATGAAAATAAAAAGCTTCCTGTAACAGTAACATAAAAAATAATTATAACATACGATAGTACAGACGACAGCGGATAACTGTGTCTATATCTGACAACAGTTTATGAACAACCGAAACCCGAACTAAGAGTAAAACAATATGGTAACTGCTGCGTTTAAACAAACGCACGAAACTGCGGATAACCGCTGCAGTGATTAAGGTACAGTAATTAAAATGATAAATACAATAAACGTAATAAATATATATGAACATTTTAAAATATCAGACTAGAACTTGCGTGACAACGTAGGTGTAAAAATTGTTGGGAATACAACTGCTTACTGAATGTTAATAAGTAGTACAAAACAATATACAAAAGAATATAAAGGGAGCAAATGGGACAATGTAAGACAAACTTAACATTCACAATAGATATCAATCGATTATGGAGAAGTTCTAACAAGTCACTTAGTGTTAGCTAGGTTTCAACGGTGAAACCATTGGAGTCAGAGGAAGCAAAATTACTGGAAGCGTTATGTATGATAATAACTATATGAAAAAAAACGGCAATAATATACAAAACATTGGCTTTCTCAAATGCAATTATCAAAAGTTGAATTCACGTTTATTGTCAGTCAGCACAGCCTGGGATAAATATTTATCAGCACTCATGTTGCTACATATGAAATCAGCATAACAAAATAGATATAATAGCACTGATAGTGAGATAGGTTAAACATTTTGAATATCGTTCATGAAGATGTTTGTACACGAATACTGAAACTGATTTTCACAGTGAATGGATCTAAATCATTGTAACCGATCCTAAGTCATGTTACCCAATGTTTCCAGCTATCGCACTGATCTCAGCACGGTAGTCCTCGAAACTGTAAGCAATATAATTCTCAAACTTGTAAGATCTATTTCAATGATAAGAATCCGTCTGTTTGATGAAATTCAGTTTATCCTTTGAAAAGAGTAATCACTTCGTTAACACATAATTAGTTTTTAATAACTAAGTCTTATTATGAAATTTGTTTAAGAACTAGAAATTTTCAGTCGGTCGATCTCTGAACAAGATAAACGAAATGGAAATTTTTGGATTTTCACATCGAGAAGTTTTTACATTATTCAGTTGATTTAATCTCTAAAAAAGCTATTCCATCTTTAGTTCCTCTCTGTTTACGCCATACTACTTACTACTCAGTAGTTTGAATTCAATTCGTAGTGTTTTGGATTGTCTCGTCATCGGTATTTTTCGATTTGAATTTAATCAGTCTTGGTTAGCATATGTGCGGATTGCGTCGATACAGCTGTTACGGAACATGTTGATATAGACTACATGGCATGTAGCCAGCACTGGAATCCATGATGTGTATTTCGTCTCATTTGGGACTCATCAGCTGAATGTACCTGTATCCCACAGTTCAGATTCAGATTTTGATAACTCGGTAGCTTTTTCAGAATCCTGGTACTGATTCTGTATTGCCTTTCAGAATTTATATATATGACTACCTAGTCGGATGACAATCCCTACACAGATTCCGTTGAAATTCTTCCTTCCGGTAAGTTGTGTTGTCATGAAATGAATAGTTATTGTTAAGGCGGTATCGTTTCCTCCGAATATTATGTATAGAACATTCAGGTTTATTTTGAGTCCTTTCCATAAAACATTCGAGTGCCCAAGACTTTTCTGGAACTGACGTTAGAGAATCGAATAAACTCAATAATCACTATTTGAAACAAAAGTAAATTTTCGTAATTAACATTTTAGATACAATAAAGGTTTTAAATTTTGCACGTCAAGTGGCGTCCGTCAAGGCTGTCCACTTTTTCCATTTCTGTTTAAATTCACCATAGACCTACAGTTAGAAATAACGCTCTAGTCGACTGAATTTTCGGGCATTGATCTCTTGCCAGGAGGTCCACCTATCGACTTAGAATACGCTGAGGATGTAGTTTTGTGAAGACGCTGATAAAATGCAGAGTCTTTTGGTAGCACTGAGCAGCAATACCAGAATATTTGGGATGCGCTTCTCCCTCTCTAAATGCAAGTTGTTGCTCCAGGACTGGTTTGCGTCAACACCTGAACTAAGGATAGGTGGTGAAGCAGTTGAACGCGTTGAAAACTTCACTTATCTTCGAAGTCTGATCAGCCCTAATGGGTTGGTGTCTGACGAAATCTCAGCACGGATTCAGAGAGCTTTTTATAAAATAATCTGAAGATCGTTTATTTATACTTCCACAAGTTTGAAAAATTCCCATATTGTGATTTAGAACAGCTGCTCCTGTGCGCACTACTAGACAACTGAGCCGAGTTAGTGAACACATTCCCTTCGTGGTTAGGAAACGGTACCGTCAAAACAATACGCAGCTCTGTCCTACCACACTTGATCGATAGCGGTGATGTAGTAGACAGAAATAGGTCATTTAAAGTGATTTATCGTATTCCTACTAGTTTTCCTTATGGGGTTTGATCTCGTGTCTTAAATATAGCAGAAGCTATAGGAATTCGAGTTAACAATCCAAGTCTTTGGTTAACATTAAATGCACGGCCATTTTTTATCCCCATTTACCAATAATTTTCATTCTGTTTTGTCCAATCAAATAAGCTAGTTTTAAATTCGTTATAATTGGTCGTTTATTTCTTAAAAGTGATATAAATGTCAGGACATGACGACAGAGCACATTTTCTTCCAATTATGGACGGTAGTAGCGTACGAAGCACGAGCTCTGTCATTTCTTATATTGTCACAGAAACCGATAGTCTATACTCTTTTTGTTTATTTTTTTCACCCCGTCCTAACTTTTCCGCATATACACTTTATTATCCAGTTATCCGAACACTTCTTATTACGTAGTCTTAGTTTTAATAAATGTTATTTCAGTATCTATATTTGACCTATTTTTCCATTATGAAACATTGATACAAGCCTATATTATTCTTATCACAACTAGTACACATGTCATCACATCAATTTGTACTTTTACTTATTATGTTTATTTATATAATCTATTCCACTTGTAAAATGTCTTGATTAGTTCGATAATTTCGTTTGTGCATATAAACATTACTGTATAATAAAGTAAAACTTAATGAGGAACTAACTGAAAACAATCTTGTTCGCTTATATATGTTGTTCGATTTCCACAAGTAATTATATGATATGACTGTTAACGAAAGTAACCTATGGTATTAATGAAAAAAGAATTAAGATAATTATTCAGCAAAGAAATTGTTGAAAAGAAAATTTCCTTCAGTGAATTCTGTTGATTTGATTGTTGTTTAAAATGTCTCTGTCAAAACTACATATTTCTATCAAATTAATTTTACCATATCGTATTACACCATCGAGTACTAAATGCCCTGGTACAGCTGAGAGTGGGGAGAGTCAGCTCTCCCTCTCGAAATGCTCTCATATGGCCACATGGATACAACCACTGACGCGGAAGTTCGACTCACTGTCTTCTCGCGACCAGGATGTTGTTTACGAAATTGAAAGGATGAAAAGCGAATTTCCGGCGCTTTAACCGGGTTGGCGGACACGGAGAGTCCACTTATGGGAGTTGAAGAACTCTGATTCCAAACCAATCGTGTACATGGGCTCCAGTATCCTGAAGGAACAAATGGCGTATGGATCAATCATTGGTCACCGACTACTGTGAGACTCCATCTCCTGACGTTGCTCCACTGGCTTGTGGATCAGACCCTTTAGGTCAAAGACTCCGGGTGTGGTCCCCTAAGAAAACTACCTGCTCCGGTTTGGGCGACCGGTCAGTATCCCAGCTCTAACATAGATCGAATGATTTATGTGTCGCATATTTGTTCGGTACCTCATTGTACCAATGTTTATGTGTTTAAATAAATAAATATCAAAAATACATAAAAGAACAATTACTGGTGGAAAAATCTGATTGTTATTGTAAAAAAACCTGTGATAAGAAAATATAAACGAACTCGGTACATAATATGTGCAGAATGACTCAATAATATTGTTTTAATCTATGAATGTGTTAAGCAAAATCATTGTTGTTTATTGAATTTTTGATAGATAATCTTGAATGCATAAATATGTAAAGAGAAAAAGTAAAAAAAACAAACAAAACAACATCGTAGGTAAATATACAAAAGGATCTGAAAGAAGAGAAGAAAATGAAAGAATATTGAACAATCACCTATACATAAAAATACATATACAACCAACTTTAATTTGTATTATTATCATTATTATTTACAAGTGGAAGAGTTAAACATCGTTTACGACGTTTGGCAAGGCGCCGTTTTGACTACGACTTAATTGTGCGGGGATATGCTCAGATCTTATTAATCCATTACAATTTATTAATGAATTATTGTTCATATGAATATTTGTACTACTACTGTTATCGTTACTATTATTAGGAGCTATATACTTTAAAGTCGGTTGTAATGGTGTTAATTCATTATTAGTATTATTGTCATTAACATTATTATTATTATTATGAATAGTTCGACGCTTTTTGTTAAAAGGCGACTGTTCAAAATCAGATGAAGTTCTTTTCATTTTTAATGGTAAATTTCTATTTGTTTGATTTGACGGACAATTGATCAATATTGATTTCGGTATATTTTCTGTAAGTGATAACCATGACTGATCAATTATTGAGACATGTCGCATAAATACACGATCATTTTGTTCAATTGTATTGTTACATTGAAATTTGTATTCACTACTTGTCACAGCTTCAATGAAGAGTAAACATGGAGGTGGATTATTTAATGAAGATGTGTATAATTGCGATTCTGGATGAATCAACAATTCCTGAGGTGAATTTGTTGACAAATTGATGGTTTTACTTTGTACATATACGGGATGACGAGAGTTTTTAATCAATCGTTGAGTATCACCTTTGTATATTTTTGACAATTCAGAAAGAATTACAACCTACACAAATAATAATCACATTAAATCACCACATAATATTATAAATGATCTATTCGTAATCAATTATATTTGACGGGATTAAATATCCCTGACACAAAACGAGAGAGGTAATTTTGTTTGATATTGCCATACAATTCCGTTAAAATGTACAACAGTTGATGTTTTTTAAGTCTTAATTTTCAAGAAATAGTAGTTAAGCTAAAAGGAGTTTTGTGAAAACTGTTGAATTTCCATAGCTTAGATTACAACCCGATCGTAGTTAGACCATTATCAAAAACCACGTAGCGTTGGATAGCTGTTTTGTCCTAGCATTGGACTCCCCAACAGTACACACATCCACTACACCATCAAACAACCAACCCAGAACTGACTAGTTTTGGGACGAACGCTTAACCATAAGAACCATGGAGTTAATATCCGATTGAATTTATTACCAAATTCAATTAGCTAGATACTAATAATTATTAAAAGTGACCCCAGTTCGCCGAGGTGTAATAAACTTGAAGCAGTGAATTGAGTGTCTAAGTAACCGGGGAACATATATTGGTCCCACAATAATCACTAATAATAAAAAACCCAACGTCTAATGAGTCAATGGGTTGGCATGTCTATGTTGGGAATAGTTTGAATATACTGACTAATTGTTTTATAACAATCCAACCTAGATAAACAATTTCAAGTGATATACAAACTTTTATATAAGAAATTTTGGTGAGATTATAATTTATGGATGGCCTTTGAGAGACCCTAAAGTGGCCTTGAGAATGTCCACCCACCTACTAGGGCTAAATGAGGGTTATAAACCCGTGTGAAGCATAAGCATTATGATTTACAGTTAATAGTTAGGGTTTCCATTACAAACTAATGTCAGCTAAAGTGCTAAGACGCTCTCTGACTAAACGGATGAATGAATTTCACGCCGAAATCCAAGACCTGATATCATGAATCTGAGCGGTTTGTCCATAAATTATAGTCTCGCCTAGATTTTATTTTCATTTCTCTACATTATATTTAAAACTTCGTCTTATGTCCAGCCTATTGCCTTTTTTAATTATCGTCGAGCAGAGTCAATTATATTAGCTAAAGATTGTTTCGTTTTTGATCGCATACATATATAAATTGAAAACTTATTTAAATATTCGCTAATAAGCATTGCTAACAATATTTACCTGGTCTTGAAAACCTGATAAAAGAAAGGCTTGCACAATTTTTTCTACATTTGTTCCACATGAATGCATATAATTAGTCAATCCTATACTTTGACTAATCTGTTTTAGTTGACCACGTACACGTACAGCTGTTTCTAGACGAGATCTGTTTATAAAATTAGCACGACACCATTGAAGCTTTGAATTACGCTTGGACAATTTACATTTTGACGGAGACTGTGTAGAAGAATCTATATTTGATTGAGAATTTTTCGAATTGACTGATTTCTCTGAACGAGCATCTTTAGTAGCTTTAATAAATCCACGATAAACTAAAAGAAGGCTGACGAGGTCACCAGATGGATGACGAAACCGAGACTGAACCTACATACAAGTAGACCATATTACATACATTAGCTAAGATTTAAAAAAGGATAAAAACGTAACATATGATGAGAAGGACAAAAATATTTAATCTAAAATACTTGACACAATTGTATTGCCAATCGTGTCACGAATTTACGATATGAAAATAGAAAGAATATGTGTACGACCAAAACAAAACGAGATGGTTAACTTTCATCTTATAAATGTTTATTGGATACTGAAATTGTGTCTCGATTTACTTAACATGTACAGATCTGTATACTTTGTATCCAGTGTTCGTGTAAGGACTAGTGATACTACTACCAGGCTGCCGAAACCGAAATAGGTGGAGTAAGGGTTTTGAAACCATGGACTAGCTTGTTTGGAACTTGAATGTTTTAGTCACTAGGCGATCGGTTCACACTCGATTAATTATTATTCTAATCTATTATACTAGCATGTAATCATATCGTTTGCAAGCAAAGTTATTAGTTCATTTATAATAGTAATGTTACGGTTTTCTAAAAGAGTGAATGGCAATTTTGGCACAAGAGAAAGCTACACTTGTCATCAAATATGAGAATATAAGGATTATAACGTTTGTGCTGAAAATTCTTTTCAGGGTACAATAGTTGACCAAACAGCTTGACACTGCAAAGGAAATTGATGGTAAAAAAAATCCACATTTCTCAATCGTAATAGTAATAATCATGTACTCAACCCATGATTAACTTCGATCTTTTGAAATACATTTTTAATCATATATATCTCGATGTGCTAATGGCAACTTGTGCTAACAGTCTTTGTGTATATGAAGACTATCTGTCATTAGTTTCGTGGTTTTAACGAGGGACCATGGTCAGGAAATTAATAGTGTCGAGAGTTATACAATTAGATATCACCGTGACAGTATTGGGTGATGGTTGTGAATGAATAAGAGCTGAATCACATTCAATAAACAGTGATTATAACCTGAACCCCATTCATTTAACCAACAAAGATGCACTTTTAGGCACCTTCATTTTGTCGAAAATATCGAGTAGAAATGATTGAGCATTGTGTGAATCGAAAAATAACACTCCGAAAAGGTCCTATATACCAAGAACAGTAGTATATATATATATATCAATGATGTGTGTTGGTTGAGCTAGTTAGTCAAAGCAAACTACTGACTTGGTTTTCTCGATCACTTGGTTGGTTTGCGCAAATGTAAAGGAAAAGCTTATATCAGAAGCAGACGCAGGCGGCCATAGAGCATAACAGCAATACAGTTTCAACTGTGATGTATTCAAAAGACAGACTAACGTAGAGTCATATTTTTAAAAAAAGGGAGAAAAAACTTTACCAAACTTACATCTGAAAATTCATTGCGTTTCTCAACTGGCACATAAAACACAGGACAAACATAAAGCATACTTATAATACTTAGTATTTCGATTAGACAACCCAAATAAGCGGCAGAAATCAACGTTCTGGAAAATCTTGGCTCCAATGGGAAAGCTGACATAAGTCGTCCAAGAACTGTTAGCTTAAATAAATTTAAAAACAATGGAAATCAATAACAATTTACAAGTATATGGTAATAATCTAAAGTTGAAGAAAACACTAATGGCCTTAAATTTGGCCATTTTTTCTGATCATTAGTTTTAATTTATAACTATGAAACTTGATGTGAGAATTTATTAAAAAGAATACTGTTTAATTCCTAAGTATTTATATTTTCCCCCTTGTTGTTGATGTTAACGTCTGCACAACTGATCAGTAACCAGTGGCACATGTCCATCCTGATTTACTCGATATTTCCATATAGTCATGAGTTTTATCTAAGTCAAGTAGTGACCAGCAGTGGAACGCAGGATGGGCAGTCCGATCTGTTTGGAACTCATCATATAAGTGTGTTGATATTTACATTGGGACTCGAATACCGTATCTTCCGCATAAGTACAAAGACAGAAGAAATAAAAAAGTAGGTTGCAATTAAGAGAATATAATATCCGAATTCACCGGGAAGCTAAACATGTGAAACATAATTTAAACGAAATAAATGAAATCAAACACAAGAAAGCATGAGATGACATTAAACTCAAACTTTAGAGCAAAATAAAGAATAGATGCAATTACACCTCTATGACCAATTATTCTTCCGTTTCAACTTGAAAGCCCGTATACAATAACGTGGTTCAGGTCAACAGTTAGCAACTTGATGATTTTACACTGACCGCCCCTTTAATTTTTCGAGGCTTCGACTGACAATGGACGTCTGAGTAGGCGATGGCTAAACACTTATTAAATGTACGAGTAACCAATGATAAGACTGACCTAATTATTATTAAATAACTTACAGAGAGTGGGTAGGGAATTTTTACAGAATCATTTAATTTATTTGAATCCGTGCTAGTTATTGCCTCTTGAACGCATTTGGAAGATAACGGTTCTACTTCATCATCATCCACTACAACAGCACCTAACTGAAGAAGTAGTTTGATCCCAGCTTCAATAGAGGACGGTTTAGGCGAAGATAGCCATGGAAATTGGGTAGGATTCTAAGTGCAAAAACAACGATCACGTTAATAGATATGAATCAAGCATCAACGAAATCTAACATTGAAATAATAGTAATAAAAGTCTAGTGAAAATTCTCATTTTGACATTTGGTAAGAAGAACGAATAGAACGAAGAAACTTCTTTTCAATTAGCTTTCATCATGGCATTACACTATTTTATATATATATGTAGGATTTACAATAGTAGAATAACACTCATCGAGTTGTCACCTTGCGTAATGATTACATAATGTCACATTGATTATATAATCATTACGAAGCGCAACTACTATAAGAGAGTTATTTCATTACTGCACATCATATATATGTGTATAGAGCCATGATGAAAAATTAATTGAGGAAAAATTTCTTTGCTCGACTCGTTCTTTTTAGAATGAATGAAAAAGAATTTTACTAAATCGCTCGTAGAAAGACAAAAATAACTCCTGCTATTTACCAGGTAGGTAAGGTGTTAACAAACTAATCGTATCTCTCGGTTGTAGCTGGTGGTGATTAAACTTGCTGATTGTGATAAATTGATTGGATTGGACTAAGTTGTTGTTGCCAGGATATTTATCATGCTAATACAGTTGGTTATAAAGTAATAAACTCAAAAAATCAAAATCATAAAATCGACATTTTACTGTTAACTACATTATTGGTAAACAAAAGTTAAATAATTCCTACAAACAGTCAACATCTTTAAAGGTTCAGCATCGCTAAAAACAGAAAGATGTGCTGTACAAAATTACTCAAATCTATTACCCCTTGAGGTATAGATTACTAATTAAAGATCTATAAGAAAGAGGTAAAACTTCATTTCTTTGTTCAATTTTTGACTGCATTCCCATTCATTTATTCGTTTAAATACACAAACATTGGTACAATGAGGTACCGAACAAATATGCGACACATAAATCATTCGATCTATGTTAGAGCTGGGATACTGACCGGATGCCCAAACCGGAGCAGGTAGTTTTCTTAGGGGACCACACCCGGAGTCTTTGACCTAAAGGGTCTGATCCACAAGCCAGTGGAGCAACGTCATCAGATGGAGTCTCACAGTAGTCGGTGACCAATGATTGATCCATACGCCATTTGTTCCTTCAGGATATTGGAGCCCATGTACACGATTGGTTTGGAATCAGAGTTCTTCAACTCCCATAAGTGGACTCTCCGTGTCCGCCAACCCGGTTAAAGCGCCGGAAACTCGCTTTTCATCCTTTCAATTTCGTAAACAACATCCTGGTCGCGAGAAGACAGTGAGTCGAACTTCCCTGTCAGTGGTTGTATCCATGTGGCCATATGAGAGCATTTCGAGAGGGAGAGCTGACTCTCCCTACCCTCGACCGTACCAGGGCATTTCCATCCGACTACGTGTTTTTACTTTTTGAGATTAAATCTAATCAACTAATTCACCACGTACCTAAGTATGAGGGTAAACGATGCTGTAGTTAACGAGAACACAGGCGTGGATAACCAAAAGTATTTTACGGGATTTGAATCGACAACTGCATCTCTGTGCTAATGTGGTATGGCAACTCTAACTGATGTACGTACGTAGGAAGTTCTACGTTGTTACTGACTGACCAAATTATTTGAATGCGAAATCTGAGAACCATACAGTAAATACTTCATCTGCAAAATATTCATCAATTGTCTCAGACTTTGTTGTTCCTTTGTTTCCATACCAATCACTCTCTGTTCTCGTTCTCTTCTCGATTTTCTCAAACTCCAGATGCCATGCATTCCACTTTCGATTGGTGATATATACTACTTATATCTGTCGACATCAGTAGCACATACCACTATACTACCGAGAAACCAAAACTGAAGCAAAAGAAATGGGTTCGAACCTCAAACTTAGTGGATGAAATTTAAGTATCTTAACCATCAAGCCACAGCTTTATTCCTCTTGCCTACATTACTATTACTTATGAAATGAGAAAAAGTATTTTACACTAGTAAGTACTATGACTAGATTCTATGCTATTTATTTTTCTGTCAAGTAGCATTAAAACGTGCATAAGTGGTTGGGAAAGATACGAAACGTACCTGTATTTCATATATTATCAAGTAGGAAAATCGATGGGCACAATGCAAGGCCTAAGTTTTAGATATCTGCATAAATAAAGATACGCATACCTTAGGAAAAATAAAACCTTAAGTATAAGTGTGTGTAGAGGGAAAGATTTAATTTGAAAAAGGGTAAAAGTTAGCATTACCCAAACCGAGAATGTCTTTGGAAATGTTTTTAGGTCACATATCTATTTTTATATGTACAAACGGGTTAAAACAATTTGATTTTAGAAAATCAAGCACGAGGTGTAACTAGATGATTACATGATAATAACGAAAATCTTATCAATACTAAACAGTGCAAAGAGCCATTTATGCAATTCCATGAGAATAAAAAGTATGAAAGTAGTATAAATAAGCCTAGAATAGATACAGGTTAACAGACGAATATATATGCACTGGTACTTTCGGAGAAGGTAAACGTAAAACCTTGAATATGTTCTTAGTGGGCCTAAGGTAATGCGACTGCCATGTATGTATTTTATTATTACTTCACAAAAGCCTGTTCACAGCCACAGTTAAAAAATGTAATTAGTGACCAACTTCGAGGTGCGATTCCAGGGAGAAACCTTAGCTAGTGGAGTCCCACCATGTCGGAAGTGGGACAGTTATTCACTGCATATAGCAGATGGTCACTTAGTATCGTGAATTCATTGTAGCTAGATATGGACACTATTAAGTACATAGTAGTCTAAAGGTTAGGAGGTCGCAGAGAAACCGAAGATCCTGGCTTTGATCCCCTATGGGGTTGTGAATCTGTACTGATAAGAAACCCCATACAAAGATAAAATAGTTGTCCAGTGCCATATGGTTTTCAGTGGATGTTTAACTAAGATCAGTCCATGACCTAAGCTGTGGGAAATATAATTATTCCAAGTATATGAAGTGTTACGGTCAATAAGATTAAAGTGGTTCAGGTAAATGGAACTAAAAGGGTAATATCTTGTTAAGATTTTGGATGTACGCTTTTTGTGTGTACAAAATAGAGGTAATCTTATTGTATACATATCATTAGATGAAATAATCATCAGTATACAATGCAAATCATGTGGAATATGCTGATGAATTGAGAATTGTGATTGTTGATATTATCAATAAGAATGGAAATAATAACGGTATACATGAAGAATAATATTTACATGTAATCAATATACTCAGATCACAGAATGATTTTTATTATGATTCAATACTAATTTATGGTTATATAGGAAAACGAAGTGTTAAAATCTATGGACTAATTTTCTATGTACAAATTAGTTAGGAAAATTTCGATCAAGATAACCAAATCGACCATATATTCAACAAACGAAGATGTAAATACTTTGAAAGTTTCTTTGGTGCTTTGTATATGACAGTAAATGGTGAGTGTTATATCTTAAAGGTTGATTTCCTGATACACTGCGTATAACAGAGTACTAGAACACCAAAACCCTTCCAAGTCGCAGTAAGAAGACAGAAGACTAACGAAAGGAATATTATTCCAAACAGTGTCAATTATAGTGCAAAATTCTCAGGTATTTATAGTTTTTAGTAAGGACGAAAACATCATTACAGTCCACCAATCCGCGTACATGGGATTATTAGTATTGACCAATCAGGAGGCTACACGTTGAATTCTAGAATATTCTTCTGAAAAGTGATTGGATGGAATATTTTCGGCTCCTTCTGAGCCTCCTACAGCTTTCTCGAGCTCACCCGTGGTCCGTCGTCACAGTGAGCATCTTGTTAATTTTATGCGTGACTCCAAAAAGGTGCTGCTCTATGGTGCTAAAAATTTCGTACGAATTAGTCCTAATGGTATCGTACCAGCTTAATAACACAGATGATTTTAGGTGGGTGGGTTCTTTCTTTAGCTGATCTAACGACTTAACAAATAACATTCTTACACTTTTAGTCGGAAAAGGGATGTTTCGACATTATGAAAATGAGCGCCAGACACAAATGGGATAGCAAATTAGTGGGTATATCAGGGTGTACAGGGGAAAGCATCTCGATGACTCATTCAAGATCTTTTTTCCAATTATTGAAGTGTTTGAATATTTACAATTTTTTTCTGCTCTTGGAGCTAAGTCAACAAGAGAGCTTGTGGAAGATCCATGACACGGCAATGCCTTCCTGGTATTCGTCTTCTTCTGCTACAGTTAACTCAATTAGTTGTCTGTGGCCAGTTAGATACGTTACCGAAAACTTCTAACATCCCCATGGTCTCTAGAGGGAATGAAATGAAAACTATTAGGAGCAGTTAACTCGTAATAAAAACCATATGAAAGGGATAATTATTTAGTAACTAAACGATGTACATATAAATCATAGTAGCAACAATAAACATGACAGAAAATGTGACTTCATAAGAAAAGTTTGTAAGAATACAACTCCAACAACTCACTAGAAATTTCCAAGATTTAAATATCGTTTTTAGAATATCAGAACAATTTTGAACAAGTAAGCAAGTAGATTCCATACACTGCCTCAAAATGTGTTGTAAAAACGTTATACAAAATACCGTATGTATTAAATGCATTAACGATCATAGATTACAAGTAATCTAAAACCCTTTACTTACCTTTATATTCATAGATACAAGATTCAGTAAAACTCCACTAAGTGGAGCTTGTAACATCTGCGGTCTAGGTTGAAGTGGCATATTTTTATATTCTGAATCAGTATATAATCGAAGACAAACACCTGCTGCTTCACGTCCAGCACGTCCTGAACGCTGCCATGCTTGTCCTTTGGAAATCCATTGAACACGAAGACATTCAAATCCGGTTTTAGGATCCCAGTCTCTATTAGAATAATTAACACGAAAAATAACTTACTGAAATTTCTATATACTTCCGTTTTAATAACTGCTGAATGAAATGACGATCATCAATGATAATATATATTTTTCCCTTATTCTTTCATCGGGTATAGGTTTGTGTACTTGGCTATGAGTCGCATTCTAAATGAGAAGGCTAATGATACGCCCCCCAGTCATCCGAGTAGTAGGTGAAGAGCAATTCGAAACTGGGAATTAGTTTATAGAATAGACAGATTGGAGTTAACAGTGGAATTCAGGACTCATTTTTCTCACTATTTAGAACTCGTCAGTTGTATGTGCCTACATCTTAGTGTTGATATTTACAGTGGGTCTCGAACCAAGTGCTCTCTGCTTCAAATGGTCGACGCGTTATCTACTGAGTCTAGACAGCCAATCATTTGTGAAACGGGTAAAATAACCATATAATTGTTTATAATATTAGCTGACAATGGAATAATTCAAATCCTTTCTAATAATGATACTGAGACATGGTGGTTTAGAGTTGGAACACAACGACTAAGCTACACTATACAATAAAGACTGATTATTAAATGATTTTATCAAGTGTAAAGTGATAGATCAATGGTTTTGAACAACAACCTACTTTTTAAGGAAACAATAATTGATTATTTTTTTTAGTTTAATTAATAATAGTGATTAATATTCACAAATTAACATGGATAAATGGCACCTCAATTAATCAATCCACAACTTTTAATTTCAATGGCTATATTGAGAGTGAGTTGTATTCTGTATAGTTCAAGAAAATATTGTCCAACTTTTACATAAGTAACCAATCAGTTCCTGATAGAGTTATACTCAGTTACTAACACGTTAGTTATATCATACTATCAATTAACTAGTGAACAACATGTAAGGTTAATATACATATTGAACCTAGTTAATTAGGTTTTGGTATTAAAATTTGTTTCATATTTTCACTTCAATATGTTGATATAAAGTAGCATTTAGAATAGACAATGTTTATGTACTAAGGAATGTGATCTAGTATCACGTTTTCTATTAGTGAATATAAATTATGAGGACTGTGAGAAAATAGATCATAATGATTTGTTGAAATTTTCTTAAGAATTAAAAACTATGACCAAAAATAATAGAGTAATAACATTCTGATTAGAAACCATGTTAAAATGTGAAAATTGTACTTTTAAAACACTTGAATACAGTAATAATAAAAAGATACTGTGGTGCGTGCTACTTATATTGACATAAGTAGTAGATGATGTTAGTCGTGAACAGAAGGTCTGAAAGCAGAGAGGGAGAGAGAGACAAGAGGATCGGACAGTGAAGAATGGAAACAGGATGAAATTTGTATGAAAATGCAAGAACAATGAAGTCTGAGTAATTTTGAAACAATTGATGGACATTTTGTAAATTAAGCATTTACTTTATGATTGTTAGATTATATTAACAAGTCCTGTAATTTTGTGTCAAACACATTCGATTGTTCCCCACTGATGTTCTTGTTCACTACAATACCAATGCTAGTTTATATGGTAATGATACATAGATGTCCTATACTGAGGTCATGCTAGGACTGATTCAAAATCAATGGCATATGAAGTAATAATTTGAATGGACAAATTATCCATTTGTTAGATAGATTAGCTGTCTTTTATTTATTATATATTAGTTTACGATGTATATATGCAATGCATTGAAAGCGTCGCTCTATTAACATACAGTTTCAATTGCCCGATTGTTTTCATTTTTCGTTACCCCTAGGTACCCTGGTACGACCTAGACTCTAGAAAATTTAACCTTCCTCTAGAAATGCTCTTATACGGTCATGGGTTTGTAGTCTATTAAACGCTGAGCACTGCATTTCTGATAAATAATACTTCCTTATAGTTTAAGGTTGAGTAGGGTCATTCATGTGACTCAGTAGGAAACAAAATAATGGAGAGTGAAAGTTCATTGTCAGTTTGTGTTACTTAATCCAATCCTGTTTAAATTAATGTTTGGAGACCTGAATAATTCTTCGGAAAAGTCTTCAGAAGCTGAGAAAAGGCTGAAAAAATACTTCGATTGGCCAATTGTAAATAAGAACTTTTCAGTGTTTTGGAAAGTTGATGGGATATGTGTCATCCTCTGATTGAATAATTACCGATTTTCTTATCGATCTTCCAGAAGGCCAAAAAGAAAAATATAAATATTCTTGTTTTCTACACTTAAGCTAACCTTGGAAGTAAAACGTTTCCTTAGGCTTCCCGTCTTTTTATATTCTGTTTGGAACTCAAATAGTTAGGAAATTAGTGTTATATATATCAATTATCATATCGACTTAATTGTTTACATCAGTTCGTAAAATGATTGAATTTCATTGATTAGATAAAAACTGTATAGCAATAAAAGGAACAATGTGACTAGTAGTTGAAGAAGATTAAAAAACGGTCTTTTTAACAAAAAGAAGTGACAGAAACGATTATATATCGATTAGAAGAAGCCTACTTTATTTTTGCGCGCCCACAATCTATCACATAACGTACACCTGGGATGGTGATGGATGTTTCTGCTAAATTTGTACTGACAATCACTTTACGCGCATTCTAGATTAAATGACAAAGAGAAAAGTGAAGTATACTGAAATGCAAGGTATTGATGTGTAGTACTGATTATAATAACAATAGTTATCAAATCATAAATTAATCCAAGGAAGTTTTTCAACGGCTTGATCTTTGAGAAAAAGCTCAGAATCTATGAATACAGGTTCGAGTCATCAGTCTGGAATCTTTAGACTACGAACAGAAGCTTCTAAACCAATTTGGTTTAGAAATACATATAACCACATGGTTAACCACTGCGTTAAAAACACTTTTTCATTGTTGGCAGCAGTAATAAAAAATAATACGTAATCAATCAATCTGCTCAGTGGAATTACGTAGTAACTGAACAACATATACATCCAAGAACAAACACATCAAATCACGATCTCAAGTGCGACTACAGATGATGAGAACTGGAGATTATAACAATCGTTAACGATTTATAATTGATTCATTTCACTCATCAACCGTACAAACATATATTTGACAATCCAATAAGTTAATATGATCCTCTATATGGTTGTCTCTTTTTATGCTACAATAATAAACACAGAATGCTGATTATTTCTATGTTTGTGATTGATGTTTTGAGTATTCATTTCATGTAAGCACATCTATTTAAACAAAACGTATGCTCTTCCAAGTGTGAATTTATAAGAATGCTATTAATGATTAACTGTGAAAACTAAAATCATATTGTGAATAGCTGACCAATATTCCAAATTATGAATTTAGTTAGTTGAAAGAAGTTGGTAATAAACCCTGGATATGCATTTTATGATGGTTAGCATTAATTAAGTTTCAATAGTAATCGCAATCGAGAGGGAACTATTGATACTTCTAATTGGATTCAAACTCGCATAATTCATTGTTACAATTAGAAACATGTATCAATCAACTACTCAGAAGTGACTCTTGATTAGAAACAATTCAACATATTTTCAAAGTTGAATTCACGAGTCGATCTAAGCTAGATTACGGTTGAAAACCTGCAAGCACTGGACGGCCATTTCTTTCTAGCATGGGACTCCTTGGCAGTGAGCATCCTGCATGCGCATAAACCACTGAGCCGATATACAAAAGTGAAGGGTTGAGCAAGATCAAGGACAGATTGAAATTAGACATTAACATCTTTGAATGAAGGCTCAGTGGTCTGAAGGTTAAGTGTTCGTGCGCGAGAACGAAGGTCCTAGGTTTGAGTCCCATGTGCTAGATCGTGGGTGCACACTGACGAGGAATTCCATGCTAGGACGAAATAGCCATCGAATGCTTCCAGGTTTTCAATAATGGTCTAGCTTAGATCGACTCGTGAATTCAACTTTAAAAATACTCATCTCCACAAATCTACAATACTGATAATCTAACATGTTTTCTTTTTATTGAGGAAACTAACGACTAGAATTTAGTGAATAATTATTACAATTTAAATTAATAAAATGTATTAAACTATTTTTTTCAGTCCAATTATATCTCTAAAAACATCAACTTTATTTTCATCGTAGTACAATGAATAACAAGAATCTTCTAGTACTACTTACATTATCACAAAAATTTAATGCTTTCAACTGTTGGATCTGAGGTAATGATGAGAAAAGTGGAAATACTACAAGTCTATTTTTAGTTGAATCTATTTGATCAATATTTGTTGAATGAGATAATTGTTTGATTAAGGAACAACATCGCATAATCTCTTCTTCACCAGTTAGAAAAATTAAAATACCACGGTCTAAAGGAGAATTCTTTGAATTGTGAATCTATTAAGGAAAAAACAGTAACAGTACAAAAAAAATTAGAGTTTAGACAAAAAAATTCTCAGTATAAATGAAGACAACATATATGAGTGAATAATATTGTTGACAATTACATCTTCATCAGGCTTTATTTCAATATACAGAAATATTTATAAGCATATATGAAGATATTTGATCGACCAAGATAATTTATGAGTCAGTCATAACAATGAAGTAGATTACGAATATTCGCACTTGGCTTTGAGCACATTAACCATGTGGACTAATGATAATAAACCTACTGGGAAGACCAAAATAGCTGGAGAAGAGGTTGGAATATACCAAGTGATTTAACCACTAAGCCACCGACAAAACAACGTAAGTGATATTGTAGTGAACCAGAACACAAGTGGGGACAATCTAACGTATTTGAACGCAAAATTACAGAATATTTTAGTAAAATCTGAGAACCGTACAGTAAACACTACATTTGTAAAATGTCAGTCAATCGTCTCAAACTTGACTGTTCCTTTTGTAAATATCAGTCAATCGTCTCAGACTTCATTGTTTCTGCATTTCCATACCAACTGCTTTGTGTTCCCGTTCTTGCCTCCTCGATCTTCTTGAACTTCTGCTGCCAGGCATTATATTCCTAGTGTTATATACTACTTGTGTCGATATAAGTAGAACACATCACAATATTATTCGAGAACGTTCAGATGTGAAATTTGGTAATCGTGCCTGTTAAGACTGAGAGAGCTTGACTGGATAAAATGCACCTACCTTAACCTTAGCGTCTGTATGTAAATAACATGAAGACACTTCTAAGATAAAAATTAACCAATGAAAAGTAACATTGTATTGAACTTTTGAAATTCTATCCATGTTAATAACTGGCATGCTAGCCATGTCTACACAATATTCTCACTGAGATGTTGGCCGAAGTATAGCAAGTGGAAGAGGATCCATAGTGAATTGTTGATTGAAATATTCAACTTTCAATTGCCAAGTTGCAAAGCTTGGATCCTGCCCTATGCGTTTTGCCTTGGGTGTCTGACATGTTGAGTCAGTATAGACACATCTTGCCTGTGCTCACATGCTGTTTTAAGGCAACAAATTATGAACGAGGGACGATATTTGAGCAGGCTGACTAAGCACCTAGTCAGAATCTCGGGCTGCATGTCCTTTTTTAGATCAGAAGGATAATCCTACATATACCTGTAATTTGTGTATATTCCGATTCAGTTGGGCAATCAAACCTTCACACTCGTCCTAGTCTTTTCATGTGCAGACTGGGTTTGGGATACCGTACAAAGTGCAGATCGTAACTAAACCGGACCCCAAAACACAACAGTGACTGAGAGTTCCGCTTGAAGACTAGCACATGAATATGTGCTTAGTCACTGGGTTGCAACAACGGATTAAAAATAAAACGGTATTGCCAAAATCAGAAATATACTTACCCGAATACAAACAGAAGCTGCATCCGCCACATAATCTGTTAAAGACTGAGAAACATTTAAGATCTTTATAGGATGCCGTCGACCTTCTATGTACACAACTTGAGTATGATCTGGGCCAAGGAAATTTAAAAAAGGCGTTGGATCGATTGTAGCTGACATAACAATGATCTAAAAAAAAGTGAACACGAAACACACTTCGTCAGTGATACTCAGCGCGTTGACAACTATTTTATCTACGGCTATAAATCACTCCATAATTAGAAAATATACAGGAAACTACTCTGGATAAAATGACCTAACAAATACTAGTCAATCCAATAAATAAACTGAGCTCATGAAAACTCTAGAAAATTTAGAGTAAATCAACGATGCTTCCTTCAAAACAAACCCAATCTGTTGAATTATACTTGTTTCCTCCCCATTGTTCGAAACATTTCTAGAAGCAATCAAAAGTTAAGATTTTGTTCGCTACACTGCTTTGCACCTAATCGTCTCTATGACCATTTAGCGTTTTGACAAAGAAAATAGGCCGTAGATGGATGTCCGGTGGGTAAAGTCTGATCTCAAGACCACTATATTCATAATCAACCTCCGTCTTCACTTCCTATTATTGCTCATACATCGACTTTCACCTCTAAACTTCCTTTTCGGCTTCCCCCTCAAGTGTCACCATAGACAACGATTCTAGCGCTCAAAACACTGTCCCAGGTCTACTGAAACCTCGCTCCAAACTGCGCATTGGAGCCTTCAACGTACGCACCTTATGTCAAATCGGTCAACAGGCTTCCTTGGCTAGAACCCTAGAATCTCGTACCATTGATGTATGCTGTATCTCTGAAACACGCATACAGGATCCCAGTGTGGTCATTCACTTGACCTCACCTCGGCAAAACGGAGAGCCAACGAGATACACCCTCCGTGTATCTGGTGACCCGATGGCCAGCTCTCGTGGACTGGCAGGAGTAGGGATAGTACTAAGCATGAGGGCGGAACAAGCACTGTTAGAGTGGATCCCCGTCAACAGTCGTCTATGTGCTGTTCGGTCCGTTCTGTTTCAATTTACGGCAGCGAAACATGGTCATTAAGAGTAGAAGACACTCGTAAGCTACTAGTATTTGACCACAGATGCCTTAGAAATATTGCTGATGTCTGCTGGGATCACCGGGTAAGTAATAGTGAGGTTAGACACAGGGTATTAGGGAATGATGGTAAATCAGTTGATGAGGTTGTAAACCTCCATCGACTGAGATGGTTGGGCCACGTGTTACGTATGCCCGAACACCGATTACGACGATGTGCAATGCTAACCGGTGTTCGGGATGGTTGGAAGAAAGTTAGGAGCGGCCAAACCAAAACGTGGCATCAGTGCCTGAAGTCACTAACTTCTAGTTTGAGCCATGTTGGTAGATGCAGACTACTTGGTTGGGGTCCGCGTGACCATCGTAACCAATGATTGTAGACTATGTGTGACATGGCTTAGAATCGATCACAATGGCGTAGGTGTATACACTCTCTATCTTCCCTTAAACTATGAGATTAAAATCGCCTCATATCTTTCTTTCTACGAAGTAATTCTTTCTTCCTGTACTATATGCAATCTTTCTTTTATATGTTACCACCTCTGAATTAACTACTTTTATGAATCCGATGTCTATCTTGTTGTGTTAATGTGGTATGGCAACTTGAACCGATGCATATATGTGCCTGTCATACGTTGTAGCTGACTGACAGTAGTTATCCAACAGTACCACATAAATCTGTTGGTACACGAGGCCTAGAGCTCGAAAGCCTTTCAGTAAGTAACATTTACTGCTTGTTCTTTATGAAGTTCATGACGGACAGCATATTAGTGGCCTAATTCAAGTAATTAATGGGGAAACCATGTATAAATGTCAAGAACAAATATCGACATGAGATGATATGTATGAAATAAAAGTCACCAAAAAGTCTGGTAATAAATATCATGCGTTTTAGAACACGTCAAGAAGCATATTTTTAACAGCTCTTTAATTGAAAGCAAGTTTTATAAAGTAACCTATGCAGAATTCATGACCGATAAGATAAACCTGAACTATATATACAACCATAACTGTTTGAATACTAGAATTTTTAAAAAATCACATCAGGGTTCAGCCTGAATAGCTAGTGCATATCAAGATTCAGGGAAGCATTAATGAAATGTTTTGCGAAGTGCTTTCGAAAACTGATTTTAGAATCATACATTAAGATGTAATATAGTTAAACCCGGCTCTATCGATATTTAGATTTAAGCAACAAGGTGGAAAATCTAGTATTTAGACAAGAAATACACTAATAATCCACAAGTTAGAATAAACTATGTAATAGGTTTAAATGGATTACTCTTTCTTTCTTAAAACAAATTAGTTTATGTTTTTCCGTCTAATACGTTTACTGCTTTACTGACACTAGTTTGAATTTCAGTGAGCATTTCTAGAATAATGACATAACTATCATTGTAGATCATTCAGATCTGAATAATTTTAATATTTCAGATACCTATTGGGTTAGAAAAGAAAAATCGAATGTAATCTGGTGAATAAATTTGTAAGTTACGAGACAGGTCTTTTTCTTCAAAAACCATTAACCTACTATTATATGTTTGAATTGTGGTCATCAGTATGATTTAAGCTACTTATTTGTCGTATTCGAAACTTGTTAACTGGATGGATGTATCTGCATTGGAATATTTATGTTCAAACAGTAATTTATAACCTTACATACATATATTTCACAACTTTAAGAGAAAAACTAATTAGGACTCTTCAAGTTATAGTTACAAAGTACAACGAAGAATCGTCATAGTATTTTCCATTCAGTAGCATAGACTCATACCGTTTCATCCAATATTAAAACGCTTAGAGAATGAAGTAGACTTTCGGTAGATAATAATTTGCATCATATTTTCAAATGATATTGATTTTCAGTTGAAAACTATGCATTAATCAATCAATTGCCTTGAATGTCTATGGAAAAATGATCTATCAAATAAATATAAGGTTACGGAGTAGTGTGGTTTTCGCATAAACGGAATTATTAAATAAATAGACTTACCTTTAACAAAGGAAGGAACTTTTTGTTATTTGAATGTCTTTCCTTATACCATTTAATTTACTAGGCAGAAGGGTATTATTAGGATTTTGTTGAAGAGAGTGAAGTTTTGAACGTCTTTTCGCCGCGGATAAAACTACTCCGAATAATATATCAGTATTCAAACTGCGTTCATGAGCTTCATCCAAAATAATAAAACGATAACGTGAGAGATTAGGATCTAGGATAGCTTCACGTAATAGCATACCATCAGTCATATATTTTAAATGTGTGGACTTTTCATTTGACATATCTTCAAATCTTACACTATAACCAACCGGTCCGATGCCAACAGGACCACGGTCCATTTCATCTGCAACACGTAGTGCGACACTTATAGCAGCGACACGCCTAGGCTGAAGTAGCAGAAAAAGGATGGACTATGGAACTAAACAATCATAAATATAAGTAATGGCAGAGTATATGGTGACGTATATTCAGTGATTTTTGTAACGAAAAAATAAAAACCGCATTTTTTCTCTAGTTTGTCACACTTTATATGTAACCACATTTTTATTCAATATCTATTGTTTTCCTGTATCACTTGTTTAAAAACGATTATAATTGTTTGGATACACATATACGAATATTCTACCACGTTGGTCGAAATATAAAACGCTATCTCCGCCGTCTGTTCTTCTGCTTTATTGGCCACGACCTTGTATTGAAGACTATAATAGTTATAACATCCTTTTAGGCCTTCCTACAATACGTTGGAGTATTTGCCTGGATTATTATTAAATAATACTATTGGATTCGATCTTTCTCATTACGCCGTGGGTGCCATCACGTGCAGAGGAATCTTCGTTAATCTAGTGAACTCATTTGTGGTTGTTATCTCAGAGAGCAGCTTACAAGTAACATTCATTTCATAATAACTGTTATTACCTTGTTGTTTAATATACCATTTGTATTCTAACTGTAATTTGTTAACTTTTGGTTTTACTCATAGACAGACCTAGGATTTTACTGTTAACTCTTTTGGTATATTATTAATAACCTTGAGTATTGATATATCTTGAATAAGCTCTTTTGCTGGGATCCACCACAAGTACTTAAACTAACCTTGTAAATCGAAAACACACATAAACCAAGACAAACCATGATAAGCTTTACACAAACAACTAGCAAGTTTCCCACTGTCTCCATTTTAACAGGGCACATTATAGTCACATTCCAGATACAGAACTCTATGGACGTAATTTTATTACTAAACGTTAGGATGTAAGATATTAAATGAACTAAGTATACAAATGAGTGAGCCACATTTTCTTCAGACGTATATACGTACATACTGATATTAGGGATTTATTTCAGACACTACAGTGCCTATTACTTTAAAGCAGGATTCTTTAACATTGGTATTATGGCAGCGAATGCTCCGAAGTTTGAAGCAATTAATGAAAACGCTTCAAACAACGAGAAGTTACATATCAATAATTTGCTATCACATAACCAACTTTTAGAGCCAACAGGATAACATACGTAGATTACATAAAAGACGGTATAATACATATGAATCTAGTGCCTAAATGACTTCATTCTTTGTAATATGCACGTTTCTGGTTATTACAAAGAATGAAGTCATTTGGGCACTAGATTTATATGTATTATACCGTCTTTTATGTAATCTACGTGTTATCCTGTTGGCTCTAAAAGTTGGCTATGTGATATTAAATTATTGATATGTAATATGCATGTTTCTGGTTATCAACTAAAGGACATGTTTACTGTGCAGCAGTTCGCTCCGTCCTACTTCATGGCAGTGAAATATGGCCGGTAAGAGTAGAGGGTATTCGTAAGTTACTAGTATTTGATCATAGGTGTCTTCGAAACATTGCTCGTATATCCTGGGACCATCGAGTAAGTAACACAGTTGTTAGGAAACGGGTACTAGGTAAGGATGGCAAATCCATTGATGACGTAGTGAAACTTCATCAGTTGAGATGGCTGAGACACGTGTTACGTATGCCCAACGACCGACTGCCTCGACGTGCGATGTTCAGTGGTATAGTAGTAGGTTGGAAGAAAGCTAGGGGAGGGCAGACCAAAACATGGCACAAGTCCATGAAGTCACTGACAAGTGAACTGAGCCATGTTGGTAGGTGTAGACTACCTGGTGATGATAGCAACCGGTGGTTAGAGACCTTGAATAACATGGCTCGAAATCGTTTGCAATAACGCAGCTGTATCCACTCTTTGTGTTTTCGCAGATTCTAATCTTCCGAATTCTTCATGTCCATTATTTTCTTTCCAAATTTATTTCACTGGATTATACTCCTTGAATACCATCTTCAAGCCCTAATGTTTCCGATTACTGCTTATACTCTTACCGCCTCTACCACTACAGGATTCGAATCGACAACTGCATATCTGTGCTAATGTGGTATGGCAACTCGAACTAATGTACGTACGTACGAAGTTCTACGTTGTTACTGACTGACTGACGTTTCTGGTTAGAACGTAAAAATAAAGATTGGAGATTTTTTGTCCCACTCACTTTGAAACAGGAATTTTCTTTAAACAAAGGTAGTCAGTTTTACTAATTAGATGAATCAATAAGCAAACACCAGCTGTAACAGACAAGCATATCTTAAATCATTTGAGCATCAATTAGAAAATTCTAATACACTTGTTGGAATCTAAACGGCTGCGTATTGAACTATTAGTTTGTCAAGAAAACAATCCCAATGGGAGGTGAACACAATTTAGAGTTGAATGAAAACATATTCAAGAGCTACCCAGTGTTATAGGGGTAATTTCACTAAACGTCTCTGGAAGAAAATTCACATGAGTACTCAGTACCTGTCAAATTGCTTACACAAAGCAACTATGGTAATAATCATTATTAAATAATTAATCACAATTAAACAGTACTGCACGATTACTTGAGTTATTGCAATAATCCCCCCGTTAGTTAAATTCTTTTCATATAAAAACTGAGGAATCTGGGTAGTTTTACCAGACCCTGTTGATCCAACAATAACACAATGTTCACTTTTCATAATAGTATCGATCAATACATCTTTATGTTTCCATACAGGTAAGGATTGTCGAGTCTGCAACAGTTCACTTTGGTTTACAGGTTTCTTTGAAGCTGCTAAAGTAAGATATGAACTTTACTAACGGTCAGATGATAATTAAAGACTAGGGAAAAAAATAATAAGGGCTCGATATCTCCCAATACAAAACAAGGTTTAAAGTGAGCTTCACTACATAACTACTAACTCTCACTCGACCACTAGGCATGAACCATAAACTTTAACGTAACACAGTTGATATGAAAATACAAAAGTTAGTAACTGTGAGCTCTTTTCGTCAAAGAGGGCAAAAGCCAAATGGTATTTGAAGTCAGGCTTATTGTACAAGATTGGACGAAACTTGAACGATAATTTTACTTTTGATGATTTGATGACTAGAAAAAAAGGAAAAATGCAACCATGTATAAGTCAATGGATCAATAATCCCTGTATATGCTGGTAATAAGGTGGTTTGTGGGAACAGAGAATACGGCAAAATTGAAATAGGTAGACCGGCGTGAAATCTGATTCTTCGATTAATGAATTACAACTATTATCAACTAATTAAATTAAAACATAGACGAGAGAAACTAATCATTTCTGAAACATCACAATGCAGTGTTATTTACATAATGAAATAGAAATCGGCCGGTCATGATAAACACAGATTTTGGGACAAATTGATGTTAGCCCGGGTAATAAGGAGATAAGAGAACTTATTTACTAACAATGAACTGAATTTTTTTGAATACCTATCAACCAAGGTGACTGTACCAGTCACTAGACGTATGGGAGACTTGTATGAATTTGTAGTTGCTGTATTAACTATAAAAATTATTTTTCAGTCTAAACAAATTCTAATTTTTCCACTGACAAACCATAACAATCGAAAGCTCAAAGAATTGCAAATCTTTAAACATGAACTTGTGTGAAAAGATTCGAGTTATTGTCCGAGGGATACAGATACCACCGGCTCGTCTAAGGGAAGAGATATTCGTGTTTTTATTTATTTGTTCCTGAAGATAATGACGAAAATCGCCCAATTTAAAGAAAATCCACTCTTTTAATATAAGTACTAGTCAACAACAACAAAATTGTTTTTTATTGAAAGCGAGTTTAATTCGAAAACTGCTTCGAAAATTGTTTTTAAAGTAAACTGAGGAGTCATCAAACAGGTTGACAACTACACCGAATGTACAACCACTGGTCTAAGAAAGCACGTAGTGCTAGCATCTGTGCAGTCTGATGCTGTTAAACAACAATATTTAAGGTTAAAGACATCACGACGTTCATATTTCAGTGTGCACGACCATTTACCTGATAATTCAACTCGCTACGCAAGTGTGATCTCAGTGGGACTACAATTTACGAACGACTTTTGAGCGACACCAAGGTGACCCTGAGCATGTCCACCTAATAACTAGGACGAAACGAGGGTTATAAACTAGTGAGAGGAGTTAGAATTATAATTTACAGCTGATGGTTGGGGTTAGGAGTTAGATTTAGGTTATTCATCATGAATTGACATCAGATACAATGCTAAAACGCTATTTCATCAAATGGTTGAATGAGTTCCGCGCCAAAATTCAAAACCTGTTATGTTATATCTGATCGACTCGTCTATAAACTATAGTCTTGCCGCAATCTCAATACGAGACGACCAGGACTATCAAAATGTTATGAAAAACCGCAATAAAAGGCGAACACCTGTTTTAAGTGATGCTTTTGAAATATATATATATATATATATATATATATATATATATAACCTAAACAAGTAGCAGTGGAATGTATAGGCAAGCTCAAAGGAATGATATTTATTAAGAAACCTTAGTGTGAATTTATCCGATATTGCATTGAAATAACGTTGTTTATCCGGCCCCGGAGATTAGTAAAACATCTCTAAATTCGGATAAGTCGACAGAGGATACAAATGTTTGTTCGTGTGGACTGAATTTTGAAAACATTTGGGCTGTTCAGAAGTTACTTTGGAAATTTATGACGGACACAATAACTGGTTACATGAAAAATCAAGACAAAGTATCAGCGTAAAGCTAGACCTCTTTATTCTGTCCTACGGCAGATTAAAAGGTGACCCGGTCTTGATGTATACAATAGTAAGAAGTAAGTTCGAGTGCTCATTTGGTCCCACTAGATCGGACAACTCAGAGGATATTGGAGGTGAGCAGAAAAGCTAAGAACGAACATATTACCCGTGGCACACAGGTTTTCACACCGTGCCGTAAATTCTGGGAACCTGCCACGCCAAGCAGTGGTGTATGAACCCTCAATCGACTCATTCAACAGAAGACTAGACACAAAAACCACTAGGAAAGAAATAACATGTGCCGTAGGCCTTCTGTCCTTATTACACGAGTCTAAACCCGTAGAATTTAACCCATGGAAAACGCTTACGAAAACCTCACAGAAAAATGCAACCTGAAGAGAGTAAATTCTACCAACAATAGAGGACTGGACTAATTTTTGATAAAACGAACAACATACTCTTCATCTCATGAGGGTGGCGCGCAGAGATGCATTTGGCGCTAACATGTATGACCTTGAAAAGGACAAATCACTCCAATCAATCCGAAAAGTTCCCAGTCGTTCGATATAATGGTTTTTATGATACCGTAGACATGTACATAATAGAAGCAGATCACTATTTTTGTTTCTTCGAGAACAGTCTTGCTCATCCGGAACAAATTCAAGGTTTCAAATGGTTCAAATGGTTGTGGACGAAATAGAAGAAGCTTTCGCTTAACAGGCTTCCGTGTCTAGTAGCAGGGGATCACCAAATCCTCTAGGCAGGAACCTAGGTATGCTAACAATAAAAGACGAGAAAGAAATTGGTAAATCATAGTATGATGCTGTCCTTAGTCCTTAAGAATGAGTCAATTTGCCTCTTGAAGGACTCCTGGGAAGTCACTTGGACTAGCTCGGCCGGCAGCGAGTTACAGCATTTGACAACTCTTAAGGAGTAGAAGTTATGTCTCAATTCCGTTTTGCTATGTTGTGTCTCCAGTTTCTGGGTGTTACCCCTTAGGTTAGTGTTTGAACTAAGCTTAAGTAGGTGTTTAAGAGGATGTCCAGAAGTGTTTAGGATACTGTAAGCCATTAAAAGGTCACCTCTAAGACGCCTATACTCTAATGGGTAAAGGTCTAGTTAATGGAGGCGCTCTTCGTAAGGTTTAAATTTGAGTCCTCGAACTGATTTCGTGACTCGCCGTTGGATACGCTCCAGGGTGTCCTTAGCCTTTTGGAATGAGGGGGGAAATACAATGTTTCCGTACTCTAAATGGGGACGGATAAAACTGTTGGAGATTATATGGAAATTTCTTCCGCCAAACTGGCCAAAAATGCGCTTCGACGTTACCAGTACAAGGTTTGCTCGGAAGGCATTTTTGTCACAGTTAGCGTAAGACTTTAAATTGTAGGGCACCAGGACTCCTAAATCTTTTTCGACTTCGGATACTACTGGAGAGGAGTAACCTACGTTATAACTGTAGTCTGCGACATGTCGCAGATGGACTACTTTACACTTTGAAGTGTTAAAGGTAAGTTCGTTATTATCTGCCAAACTTTAGAGTCGAGTCAAATCCTCGTGAAGTGCCCGTATATCGTCTTGATTACGTATCTCTCTCCAAAGTTTAACATCTTTGGCAAAGAGTAATAATTCTGACGTTACCTATTGATGAAGGTCATTTATGTAGATCAAGAAGAGAAGAGGCCCTAGTACTGAGCCCTGGGGGACCCCACTAGGACATTCCATAGCCTGAGATAAAGTGAAATTAACCCTAACCTTAAAGTGTCGATTTTTCAGGTATGAAGTAAGCCAATCAATTAGAGGTGCTCTGATACCCAATCGTTCGAGCTTATTAATAAGACATATATGGTTAACCTTATCAAAAGCTTTTGAGAAATCAAGGTAAATGATATCAACCTTCCCCTTGCGATCGAGGATGCTTGTCCATCTGTCCACCTCAGTCAGCAGGTTTGTTATACAAGAGTAACCCTTCCTGAAACCATACTGTTGGAGTGAGAAGAAATTTAAGGACAGTAAATAGTCATTTATACCATCGCATATCAGGGACTCCATGACTTTTGAGGGTATGGAGAGAAGAGCCACCGGTCGGTAACTTGAAGTTTTGCTGCGTCGACCTTCTTTGAAAATTGGTGTGATGTGTGCTAGCTTCCAATTTTCCGGTAGTTTGTCTCTGCTTAGCGAGTGTGAGAACATCACGCTGAGTGGCGTTGCCGGATTGAGGCTGCTTCCCTCAATATGGCAGAATGGACCATATCCGGGCCAGGATAAGTGTCAATTCTTAAGTGTTGAAGTTTCCGGAACACCAAGTCAGCGCTCAGGTTCACTTCGGAGAGTCCTTTGGAGTTGCAGATGAAGCTTTCATCAGTATAGTTGATGTGAGTCGGTTGAGATGTCTGGGAGTATTGTTCAGCCAAAAGGTTAGCGGCGTCGCCATCGTCGTTGGTCGGGCCGTTAATACCTACCAGTTGAGAAACTCCAGTTTTGGCTTGACGAAGAGAGGCTGCACAACGGAATAAGCTTTTAGGATTCGAGGCAAGTTTGTCCATAAGCTTTGCCTGGTACTGAAGCCTATCTTCTCTTATAGCCTTTGTGCATATGTTCCTTATATGTTTATTTTGCCTGTACGCTCCGTCGTTGTCAGTTCGTTTGTATTCCGCCCAACAGTGTCTTTTGCGGCTTAGCAGGCGAAGGGTACGGTTCTTGACTTCTGTAGGTGGCTTGCAGCTTTTGGGAACCGTTTGAAGAACAGAATGGTTTGTAGCACGTAAGAACGTGTGCAGTAAGAAGTCCCAGTGACCGTCCACATCGAGTTGAGGGTGAACATCCCAATCCACCTGTTGTAGATAGTTGTGTAGAGCTGGCACATTCAACCGTTTAAAATTCCAACGCAAGTTATTAGTGGGATACCTAAGCTTGGTTTTACTGACAAAACTGAAGGCTAGTTTCATATGGTTAGATGAAAGTTTCGCTTAACAGGCTACTGTATTTATTAACAGTCGATCACGGATGCCTGCAGATAGGAACTTAGGTATATTGAAGGATAAAAGAGTAAAAATTACCGGTAAATTACAAAGAGATACTGTTCTTAGTCCTTAAGAATATCGAAGGTGCCACAGGTATTCGGAGTTTGACAACGCTTTAACCAGTAACACCTTCTAATATGAATCGTACCCACCAAATGAAAATCAAAAGACAGAAGCGAGGAGGTTCGAAGATATATTTGATAGGCTATCAATATATCGAGGCTCGTCTAATCTACTCTGGCTAGCGATTGCAGGGGATATTTAGCACGGCGTTCCCACTCATGATCCGGTGTGGATTCATGATCTAGCGCCTTCAGCTAGGTGACTCCATTGAAACTAATGTGGTCAGCACTCAATGTCCAGGACTTACAGAGCTATTAATTTCGGGGATTTATTTACAGCTACAATATGTCATGTTTTCTCTCAAAGGGCTCCTAGGAAGTGGTTTTTACTAGCTCATCAGGCACGAATCCCAGCACTTGACTAATCTTACGGTACAGAAGGTATGTTTGCTGTCTGTTCGGCTGTGTTTTGTCTCCGATTTCTGCGTACTACTGTAGATCAATGTCGAATGATTAGGGGCCTATCGGAGTTAGACAGGGATGAAGCGACGAACCAGCTAATGTCGAAGTCACACCTTGCGGTCAACACTTTACGCGGATTACCTCATTGACGCATCAAGGTACTATAGATACTTTGAAGACTGTACAACACAAATGACGTTGTTACAGAAATATATTAGTTAAAGTAGATACAAGCGAATGTAAGACCACCACCGCATAGGACAGTCCATGGCGTACAATTAATTGATGCGCGTTGGTTGTCCTTAACCTTGACGGGGATCGATGATCTGTTCGATAATCAGTGACCCAGCTGCAGGATGATTTAGCTACGGTTCAGTAACATTTCACTGGCTCGACACTATCTCAAAGGTTTGTGTTGGCAATGAGCTTAAATGGGTATTTAAGGGAACGCTCAAAAGTGTTTAGGATGTTGTATATTAGTATAAGGCCACCTCAAAGACGCATGCACTCTAACGAGTAAACGTTCATTGATTAGAAGCGCTCTTCATAAGAGTATAGAGCAGGATTCTTCTGGCATGTTTTAATAAGGCAAGCTGTTACCCATTTGTTGAAACAAACATGCTCAACTAATGCGTAGGTAAACTACATGGATGGTGGAAAAGAGCCGAAAATATCAGTATTCACAGATCTATCAACCTTATTACTGCATAGTGAAGACTGGAAGCACTTTTGTGTCTACGGATTTTCTCTTGTTGACATGAAATGAATTTATTTCCTGAGTTTCTAATGTCTGCGTTCATTCTCGACCAGAAAAATTATTTCCTTATGAGTATTACAAAAGCTCGCATACTTGGGTATGACAACGAATGAAGTCGCTGATATACTCTTCGCCCGCAAATTCATCGTTGAATAGATAGTCGCTTCCACCAGAACCAACTCACGTAATGGTAGAATCAAAGTAATTAATCGAAATGTATCGGAACACCAATCTCGACTTCTACACATTTGCTATTGAAGTCCATTGACCGATGTGGGGTTTCAGAGATTGCTTCAATCGCTGAGATTATTACAAATATGATTTTCACTTATAATGACTTGAGGAATGATTCATAAACAGTTGCTTTCTTGATGTTAGAGACAAGAATTCTGACACCAACTTTTTAGTGGAAAAAGGTGTTCTCAGTACCATTCTCCAGAATAAATCAGAGATGGGACGACACTTGAAGTTATTAATAAATCGAAATGGCGAAGTTTGACCAGAAAACTTTAACACTTGATTTTAGGTTCAAGTGATAATTCCCTCGGTTGGCTAAGTGGGCTTAGTTGCTAATCAGATAACACGCTAGGCATTTGAAGCTAAGGGAACTGAAGTTAAAGCACACAGTAAACATCTCAGATACGGGTGAATTGCCTCAGAGTCTGAAATAGCACGAACCGCGTGTACTGAATTTAAATGCCAAACACGTTCTATATGTATTTTGCGATTCTTCTGTAGCAGATTTAGGTACAGAAATACTTGGACTTTTCAAGTAACGTTGAGTTACAAAATAGGAAAGTCAAGTCATCTCACTAAATTTAGAAATAGGACCTACTAGCTGCAGCTGTAAGATTCCTGGAAGTACTGGCAAGATTTTCAAACTTAAATAAAATCAAATTATCGGCCCCTGAAGAATAAGCTAAAAGTGTCGCACACTTAAAATGATCGAACCTTGATACTGCTGCGTGCTACAGCTGGGGATTATTTACCCCACTTATAGTCTAAACGTTTTCGTTCCGCGCCTTCTTCAAGAAAACAGAGACCAACTGGCAACCATGTTAAGATTACAGATCTCTAAACAGCCTCAGAGTAGTGATCATTATCACGCAACTTGGATCTCACAAACAACCATATCACAATATCCTAGTAAGAGATAAACATAATCCTCTTTGAATTGTTCGCAATTTCGTGATTTACTATTTTGGCTGAGAAACGCTGCACAAATACTACAATGTATTAGGAACAATTTACTTCGGAATATGCCCTTCAGATAACTGTACTACGATAAACTAATAATTAACGGCCTTACAACCCGTAACGGAAAATTAAAATTTGTTACTGATTTTCATTAGTATTAGGAAATTAAAGCTACTATTAACCGATAACAAGACCGCCCAAAAATAGCATGTCCACAAGTTGCTTGTCACTTATCACGTACACGAAATCAGGTGTGCAATCGGTCACAATGTAGTTCCTGATTCTTGGCTTCCATCTATGATAAAATACCCACCTAAGCCTATCTGTCCCGTAGTCTTATCTTCCGATAATTTGTTTATTTATGAATGTAAATTATTTAACTAGCATAGGTTTATGTAATTAACTTTGAAAAAGTTTGTTAGTGAGGGAGCGCGGAGAGAGGGAACTACTCTGTCAGTCAGAATCCGGTAGGTGCTATGTGATTTGAACAGGTAGCTTACTAGTTGACGGCTTTAAATGATAAGCCACTGGCCCCAGTTAGGGTTACCACATTAAATTATCAGCTTAATAACTTCATTTATTTTAGCAATGTCATCAAATCATCAATTATCCTATTATTATGCCAAAGATCTTCAAACAAGAATGTCCTTTTTAGAGATTAACATTGCCCCCGAATTCCCTAGTACGGCTGAGAGTCCTCTCCCTCTCGAAATGTTCTCACATAGCCACATGCATACAACCACTGCCAAGGAAGTTCTACTCACTACCTTCTCATGGCGGGAGTGTTGTTTACGAAATTGAGAGAACGAAAAGCGAATGTCCGGCGCTTTAACCGGTTTGTTGGACACAGAGTCCAACTACAGGGATTTGGAAAACCATGATTTCAAATCAATCGTGCATATGGGCTCCAGTATCCTGAGGGAACAAATGACGTTGGTCGCCGGCTACCATGGGACTACATCTCCTTAGGATGCTCCACTGCCTTGCAGATCAAACCTTTAGGTCGAAGGCTTCGAGTGTGGCCCTGTTTCAGTTTGGGCACCCGGGCAGTATCACAGCTCTCACACAAATCAAATGAGATTTGTGTGGCGCATATGTATCTGGTGCCCCTTTGTACCAATATTTATGTGCTCAAATAAATAAGAGATTAACATCAGACAAAAGTTAGTGTATAAATAAGATTTTTTTTCGTTAAGTTAATTACATTGTACTGTATATATATATATATATATATATATATATATATATATATATATATATATATATATATATATATATATATATATAAATCAGCTATACTAAATAAATCAAACTTGAAGACTATTAGAGAAAATACTCTCAGTAAAAAAAATAATAGAAATCAAATGAATAAGTAATTATAAGTAGTACAAAAATTTATAATAAATGAAAATTTTAAAATCATACCTAAATAGTAATAGTGTATATATTCTAATGAAGAACCCGAGTAAGATTGCAACTAAGATAAATGTGAGTTACATAGCTAATAGAGATTTGTTTGTTTTTTGATATAAAATAAAAGCGGTATTTTTTATATTTTGTTAGATCCCAAACAAAAAGTCTATATTTGAAATTTGTGTAATTAGCAAATCTGCTGCCATTGTGATACTACTTATTATAAAGCATAATAGTAATAATAATGTTTGTTTTTTTTAAAAAAAAAACAACACTACTTATATGATTATTTTTGGTCTCGTTTTGTTTTTCTTATTTAAACAAAATGTAATAATAATAAAGTATGTAACAAAATGAAAATTCAGAAATACAAAGTATCTATGTATAATATAAATCTTTTAATACTGAAATTATAGATGATATTCTCATTATTAAAATGGGAGGTATTGAGAAATATATTGTAGCAGTTATTGAGTAAAAAATCTACTTTTATTAATACTAATACTAATGATTAGTAAATGGAAGAACAAATATTGAATTTGTATTGATTTTGTAACTGAATTAATCACTATCATCAATGTTTATATTTATTTATTTGTCAAATACTGACTACATTATTATTATTATTATTATCTTCATCATCATCATCATCGCTAGATGTGGAACTGAACTCTTCATGTTTGTTGATTGTTATTACTTTTCTAAGTTCAGGTTTAGGTTGAACTGATAGATTATTATCATTATTAATGTTTACAACATTTGATTGTTGTTCATCTGATAAAATATTTTCCACTTGAGTTATTTTACTTTCATCATCATCATCATCATCATTAGAAGGAGTTTGTGATAATTCGGTGTCAGTGAGCTTAATTGATATAATGAAAATATAAAAATACAATGAAGTAATAAACAATTGAAGGAAAATCAAACACTATTATAACACTATATATATGATACAAACACAAAGAACTATTCATAATAAGTACAATAAAATATAATTTTCTTTATAAGTCTGATTAAGTGTCGATTACTTGTAAAAGATGAATATAATATATATCATGCATAATATGAAATACAGATCTCATATACTCTAGTTTAAACTAAAATTCAATTATATACAAGTTAACATTCGAACCAAAATAGAGTAGAGCAGCATTCAAACCTAATGGAATCTGTAGCTACTTAATGAGTGTAATAACACTTAGTTCAGGTTTAGGTTGAACTGATAGATTATTATCATTATTAATGTTTACAACATTTGATTGTTGTTCATCTGATAAAATATTTTCCACTTGAGTTATTTTACTTTCATCATCATCATCATCATCATTAGAAGGAGTTTGTGATAATTCGGTGTCAGTGAGCTTAATTGATATAATGAAAATATAAAAATACAATGAAGTAATAAACAATTGAAGGAAAATCAAACACTATTATAACACTATATATATGATACAAACACAAAGAACTATTCATAATAAGTACAATAAAATATAATTTTCTTTATAAGTCTGATTAAGTGTCGATTACTTGTAAAAGATGAATATAATATATATCATGCATAATATGAAATACAGATCTCATATACTCTAGTTTAAACTAAAATTCAATTATATACAAGTTAACATTCGAACCAAAATAGAGTAGAGCAGCATTCAAACCTAATGGAATCTGTAGCTACTTAATGAGTGTAATAACACTTAGAAATTGTTGTTTCATAACATTTATCTTGAAATATGGCCAAGTGGATACACCAATCAATTACGAATCATTGACTATCACGTAAGAATTCTGCTTTCCACTTAACTAGCTCGGTTTCGGTGATCAGATACTAATAACCTTTTACCCACCAACTCGTTTACTCGCTTTCGCAAAAAGCACTCTCACAGCAGGTAAGACTTCCCTGGTAGTGGGTATATATATATGGCCATACGACAGCATTTCGAGAGAGAACGGCCTCAATCCACAATCGATCTTAACAAGGTATTCGGAGGCTTTCCCTAGTAAGTAGGGTACACCTGGCTGATATGGAAAACCCTGATTCCACACCAATAGTGCACATGGGTTCCAGGATCCTGAAGGAACAAACGGAGTAAAAATCTACTCTTGGTTACCGGCTACCATGGGACCACATCTTCTAACTTTCCTACACTGCCTTGTGAATTAGACCTTTGGGTCAGAAACTCTGTGAGTGCACCCCTAAGAAAACTATTTGCTTAGGTTTGGGCACCCGAACAGTATCGCAGCCCACACATAAATTCAGTGATAGTTACTTTGTGTGGCGCGGATATATTTCGGTGCCTCTTTGTACCAATGTTTATATGATTACATAAATAGAACAAACTTTTAAAAAACAATCCGTGTTTAGGTCTGATTACATGGATATGTATTCAGTCACTGATTTACAGTCAATAGTCAATACATTGACGTTGCCACTGATACTAATTGCTTTGATTGGTTTAACTACATCTAATTCAAATACTTACTTGATCCTCTTCAGCTGTAGTTTTAACACTAAAAATAGGCTGAGACAATTCATGGTTATCAATGTTATGATTTGATTTCGCTCGATGCTGATGATGACGAGTAGACATTTTGTTCAATAAATAACTATCGACAGACTCAGATGGTGTATCAAGCTCCGGTATTGGTGGATGCTGGAATTCATGTTGAGCACGTCGATGTTTTTCGTATATTCGTTGAGTGATAGAATAACGATCACGCCCTGAAAGAGGATGATTTGAAAATTCCCCATTGCAAATGCTTGGAGGTCGAGCAAGTCTAGATGCAGATTCAGTCGATGCTTCAGAAATGACGGATTTTGACAAAGCTGATGATCTTGAAGATGGTGGTAAATCATGTATACCAAGAGCACTAAGGCTACTAGATCCAGGTATAAAAGGTGAACCGTCAGTGCGAGCTGATTGATGGATTTAAAATATGGAAAGAGAGAGGAACAGAAAACTAATCAATCGAATACAGTGACAAGCATTACATAACAATTCAGAGAAATACAAAATCGAAGTGAATTACATTTACACTTAATGTTTTTAGAATTTAATTTTCTGCGCTCATGAAGACAGCTTCTAGTATAGCTAGGCAAATTTACAGAATTACAACTGTCTACGGCTAACCTGTTTAGGTTCAAATGAACCGTTGGGTTAACAATAACAAATTATATTCAAAAATCTCCTATATTATTGGTAATCTACAGTTTGTGGTCATGCATGGAATCTAATGAAAGGTAGAAGTAGTAACCAAATGGATTTTTTTGAATAAACTGGGCACGTCCATTAATCCCAGGTTCAGTTTAAAAGTATGTATAGCCATAGAATTAGAAGCTAAAATTTATTAAAAAGAATATTTCCGAGCACATACAGTTATGTGTGCTAATTTACTGGGAGACTATAAGAGACATGAAGATCTTAAATTGGACAAGGACGAAATAATTGTTCAGTGCTTTTTAGTTTCTAAACTATGGTGGAAATCCTTAACAAATTTGATTTCTGACTGGTCGTAGAATCAACTCAATAGACACACCATTGATGATTCAGTTGATTTTGATGCTTCAATATCAGGTGTCAACGTCAGTAGATATTGTCTCTGAATTCAAAATAAAATAGGAATTTAACCATTAATTCTTTTTTACATACTTGATCTATATGGAATGCTTAATTCATAGGCCCATCCACAAGGTATCCAACATGGTTGACGTTCCAACTTTGAAACAAGACGACTTAATTTTTCGACACTTTCTTTCATATTTTTATTAACTAATATGTGTGAATATAAATGACGATAAATCACCGACATTGACATTGAATCTTTTATAATGGAGTGTAATTCCTCATCCTAAAATAAGATGTATTAAATAATTAGATACAAGTAATAATTTACACTATCATATTTAATAAATGACAGTAATGGACGTCAGTAAATTGACAATTAAGAATTATACAAGAGAGTTTATTAACATAATGTTGCGCAATTTGTGGTTTACATCATTTTGGCTAAGCAACCGGATATTTATGAGTACTTGATTTAGGTTAATATAGAACTCTTTATTTAGTCTGCCATCAAAATCTTGTCATCGATCGAACTGAAGACCTACTCCTCAGATCTAGTTGACAGCGGGGTTACCCCTAGACCATTCAGTTGCCATTCACTGTTACATAGTTTCAACTTCACGGAATTGAAACGACGTTGTGCAACTATCAACAATTACTAACAGTATAGTTGATCTCATGTTTGAAGTACTTAAACTTCATAGCTTATAACAACTTCTTACTATAACTTCTGGGATACATTTAAAACTTAGTCACACTAGTGAATTCAAATATAAGTGTAAATTGTTCCATGGGAATTTGAGAATCTAGAACAATTTTTAATATATATAAAGATGAATTTAAGCATAGTAACTAATTTAGAAACTTAACTGAGTCAACGATGCTTCGTCTACTGGTAACTAAAAATAAGTAGTTTGGATAGACATTGATTCACAAATAAGAAAGAAATGTACTGGTTAAATTTATAAATGAATAAAAACAGTCTTAAAGTGATTTTTCAGTTGATGTTTGCTTGTCAATTTTCAGAGTGTGAAAAATCTACACAAAATCACTTTCGTATATCATAAACATAGGTTCATCAGGTAAATAAATTTCAGATGGATTATATAAACTTCCAGTCAATAGACTATAACACTTGATGAGTCTGAATGATGGTTGTAGAATATTAGTGATTGACTGTAGTTGAAAATGTGGACCACGAAACATCAGCTTAGTAAATTGTGATAATATCATAAGTGTACATTTCCGATGAGCTATGAGTTAGGATGAAACATATAATCAGTGTTGCTCAATTTTCAATCGTTAGACTAGCAGAGTTTTCAGTTTATGGTGAAAATTACTTGAGGTGGTTGAGACATGCATTACGTATGTTTGTCTGACTATTGCTAATGCCAATCAGTGTTATTCAGGTCACTGAATGTCATTCCAAGTCATATTAATAGCTGCAAACTACTTAGTCCGGGTCGGTGCAATTATCTTGACTAATGAATGGTTGAAAATGCTAGCTCAGAACAAGTTGTAGTAATGCAGATAAATTGATTCTTTCTTCTCAAATCATATTCTCTATTTCATGTAATTGGTACCATTAACAAATTTAAACAAAGCAAAAATGACAATATTTGCTTCATTGCCAGATGTTGATGTAATATGGCAAATTAAATAAACGCACATTTGTGATAGGTACTATATTTTCTCGACTGACAGACTGATTAATGAAAATTATTATCAAATTGTAGAAAGTATATATTTGAGTGAGATCATAAATGGACCAATGTTAGCACACTATTGAAAACATGGAAGCACTAGACGGCCGTTTCGTCCCAGTATGGGACTCCTCGGCAGTGCGCATTCATGAGTTATAAAATCTCTTGTTTCAACAACACTGAAAGAAAAATTATTCCAATTATAAGTAAATACATCAATAGATAAATAGTTTAATCAATTATCTAACTTACAGAACGTATATTTGAAGTGACATTAGCTTGTAAACCTTCTTGTAACATAGTTTTCGCTACTTCAAAAGACGGTGCAGCAACAAACACAACGCAAGGATTAAATTCTGGTTGATGTAACAAATGTAACGACTGATAATTTATAATTAGAAAAAAAGAAACACGAAAGTTTTATCATAAAATTAATGGTGACTATTTCAAAATGTTAATATATAACTCGTTTAAATAAGTATATATTTATCATAAAAACTGAACCTAAATGGATAGGAAGACTTTCATTCTTATACTTGGTGATTAAAAATTGAACATTTTAATCATTCAATAATCATTCTAAGAAAAAGTATAGCAGTTGAAAGGAGTAAATAATATAAATTCTTCTATATACTGGTTGGTGGCCTATGCTCCATTAGGAGTAACAGGCGTAAGTAAAGCAAAAGTAATACAATAGTCTACACATTATCAGTATAGGATTGTGGAGATTGTTGGGTATTAATTGAGATCATGAACCGATCAATGTTAGATTGTAATTGAAAACCTGGATTGGCTGAGCTTAAATATTAACATCGAATTAAATAAATAAAAGATTTACAGAAGTACTGAATACTAATTGCTATAACGCAAATGATTGTTTAAAACAATTAGTCCCTTTGATAAATTTCGATAATGATATTAGAAGACGAAGATTATCAGAACTGTGTGATATATTAGCGCAATACATTTCGAACAATCTGGTCACACATATACTTGTTAAGAGCATTTATATATAAAAATAAAAGGTCAACTAGACAGGAAACGGGGTAAGAGGAGATAAGGATAATGATAAGAGTAATAATAATAATAATAATAATGTGAACACAAAGCGAAACCTAATCACTCTGGATAATAAGTCAATATTACCAGGGTAGGTTTAAGGTAAGAACAAACTGTTTTTGAACACCATTGTAATTTTATTTTGTAAGGCTACCGTCATTAATATACACTGATTCCAAACTCTTTGAAAAAACCAAACAACCATGTTATGAGTGAAGCGGTTATCTATCAGTGGCGTTGGATGATAGTTATACCATCTCGTGAAATGACTGAAGTTAGGAATGCAAATTATTGGAAGCCAGTTCAGTGATCTGAAGATTAAGCGCGCGCTTTGAGAGAACTTGGTGGGTCCCTCCTGCTCCTAGGGTGAACGTGAATGTGCACTGCTGAGAAGTCAGTCAGTCAGTCAGTAACAACGTAGAACTTCGTACGTACATACATCAGTTCGAGTTGCCATACCACATTAGCACAGAGATGCAGTGGTCGATTCGTTCGTACGTACATACCACATTAGCATAGAGATACAGCTGTCAATTAAAATCCCGTAGTGGTAGAGGTAATAAAAGTACAAGCACTAATCGGGAAGATTAGTGTTTGGAGATGTTATTCAAAGAGTATAGTACAGTGAAATAGATTTGAGAGGAGAAAAAAAAGACAAGGAGGAATAAGGAGATTAAAATTTGGGAGAACACAAAGAGTGGATGCACCTGCGCCATTGCAAACGATTTTGAGCCATGTCATTCAGGGTCTCTAACCATCGGTTGCTATCATCTCGCGGTCCCCAAACAGGTAGTCTACACCTACCGACATGACTCAGTCCACTTGTCAGCTGCTGAGAAGTCCTGTATCAAAACAAGACAGTTGTTCAGTACATCATGATTTTCAATGGGTTGTCTAGCTATAACCAATCTGTGGTGTAAGACTACAAAAATCAACAATTTTATAAATTATTTATGTTCATTAAACGATGAAAGATCAATCAACTGATCATGAATGACCATCCATCATCTGACGATCGATCATATATAACCACCAATGCCGCCACCACAACTACCTATAAGAGAATTCTGATATAATAAAATGAAAATTTCTACTTGAAGATAAAACACAAAAGAATATACATAGATTTACTTGGGGCTGACAATCTAATACAGCAGTTCGTCCATTAGCTATTATTTTACGTAATTCAGAAAAACGAATTCCATAGTAATGACCATTAACTTTACCCCATTCAACATAGGCACCAGATTTCACATCAGATTCCATTTGATCTTTAGATAAAACTTTAAATAAATTAGTCGGCAATGTTGAGTCTGTAGTATCTACATTGATAGATGAATGAAAAAAAAACACAAAAAAAGTTGGTGATTATGATGAAGAATAACTTCGTTTAACTCTATCTATAAAGAAAACTTGATGCTGATTCATTACTAAATAAAAATAAATGGTATACTTAACCAGCAGTCCTTACTAGTGATCATATTCTATGGATCAAATTTTATAGCGATCACTAATTTAAGCGATTTTAAATCGTATGCACTATACAATGGTGTTAGATCGTTGGGTGCAGTTGGCAAAAACATGTGGAACGTATAGCAGCTGACGTGCAATCGAGTTTGTTGACATTTAATTCGGTTAAACCCTTATGTTAACTTATTTAACGGACAGAGTCATTCGTACAATAACAACTTATCTATACGATTGTACCTTTATTATCGTTGCACTTGTATGAATATGTATGCTTGAGCATTGCTTACTGCCTCCGCATATATTCATTCTGTTAGCCTTGCTATTAGTCGTTTGATTGGTTCGATGATTCATTCATTTAACTGTCTATATATGTACATTTTAATCCTGTTCATTGACTCGCACACTCACTCGCCTGCCTGCTAGCTTTTCGGCACTACTCTTTCATGCTTGCTGAGGGTACCTGTAATTTGGGTAATCTGTGCGTAGTGCAATAATAAACGTAATGAACACTTCGTATTCGCCTTCTCAATTAATACACCGTTGGGGCATTATCTAGTGACGGTTATCAGGACGAACTATATGCAAAACTTAAGGGTTGTATTGAATACCGATCACCACAAACGTCTTCAAATGAGAGTGGATTTGAATTTTATGGGTAGTATTAGTTTGCTTCTTGATGAGGGAAAATTTATATAAAAGTAATTGAATAAGAAAAAGAGAATTCAGCGAAGAAATTTTTCTTTTAGATACTTTTCTTTTCTTTGCTGAATTGTCTTTTTCTTATTCAATGACATTATGGGTTATTTTGATTATAAAAGTGATTTTAGGACTTTCTGTTGATTCAGCGATTGTTTGCATAGATTAGTGAATAATATTGCAGGATTCGCCTATTTAGAATCAGTGTCTCAATTCAGTTATTTATATTTCCAAATAGTGATTTACTGTTTCAATGTTGAGAGACAGATGATTGCATTAAATGGCTGAGATGAATTAAACAGGACACAATTTCTCAAAGTCACATGACATGGGATGGGGTTAAAGTAGAGGTGGTTTATTATTGTGAGCAAGTGTGTTGTTCATCTACCCACGTATGTAAGGATGCTTACATGCTTCATACATAAGAACAAAATCTAACTGAAAAAAATTCTATAATCGAAGTTGAGTGAGTAAATGGAACACATTACTATATATATAGATAAAGTGAATGTGCGTGCATTATTATTGTGCATATACATACCTGTCATAGGATATGCGAACCGTTTTGGTTCATATTTTGCAAGAAGTACCTTTAAATTCCGTCGACCAACACCATTTGGGCCAATTAGCAAAAGGCAAGGTACTTTAGACTGTGGCCATGGTACAACTTCTTCATAGCTCCAGATATCTGATCGTAAACGTAAACCTTTATGTAATATATAATTAAAAATACAAAGAAAATGATAATAAGTAACTTAGAAATTTACAATTTGTCATTTTGACTTCTTTAATTTGATCTTTACTGAGTATAGTCACGAGCGTCTAGTCCTAGCACTATACTATGTATGATATTGCTAAAGCCTTTGATCAGCTTTTTATAAACAAACTCATGTGTTATAGGGAAAGGGATCTTTTGCTTGTATGAGTTAAATTTTTTTATTCGTAGATACCAAATAGTTAAAATCGATTTCTTTCAATTGAACATTCTTCCAGTCATAAGGAGAGTAATACAGAGTAGTGAGTGTTTAAGGTACATTAGCTTTTATAGTATATATAAATGATGCCTACAATCGCTTCAGAAGCTTTTCTGTATGTTGATAGTTTTGTAGTGTATTCATCACTTCCTCTTCATGAACTTACTTGATCATACCAATAAATTGGTATGTATTGTGTATTCATTTATTTAGTAATTATTTATAAATGGGTTCGTTTATAAAGATTACATTTTTGAGATGAACCAATGATGAATACATTCTAACGTGCATTACATAATAATAATAAGTTGAAAGAATCACTACCGGAGATCGACCGAGTCACAGATGATGGTTTGTGTTCAACTTTGGAATCTAACTAGTATATTTAATAGACTTTCAGGTTTCAAACAGGATAACATCCTGCTAACCTGTCATATATTTATTACATGAAATAACCAGTTTTAGTAAATGAATCAGCCTATAAAACACTGCGTGACTTATATATGCTTCGTAATGTCATGAATACAATTACTTCTATGTAAAAGGCTACTTATTTAAAGAGAGAAACAGTAGGTTTAAAGTTAGAAAACAGTTGACAAATATTTTTGGTGCCAAGAATTTTTACAAAAAATTAAAATATTAAGAACCTTAAATCAACTGCTAAGTTCTTATTGATTCTGTAGCTTCTCTCTCTGCCCTACACTTGAGCTAAGAAGTAAGTAACTAGTTTCAGGTATATTATTATTTCAAGCAGATGTTCATTCGTGTTCACCTACCTACCTATATTTAAGTAGGTGGGTGAGCATAAAAATAAAACTTGCCTGATGCGTCAGCAGCTCTGAAAAATGTTTTGACTTTTTTCCACGGTTTGCGATAAGTATTTGCTAAAAAAGTTTTTGAAAAAAAATTACAGTAAGGGAATGTTAAAACAGAAATTCAATTCAACCCAATTAACCAAGTACATATCATTGTACCTTGGGACTAAGAACCACACTATTTAGATGCGAGGACTAGGATAATGCTAACCGTAGTGGAAGGAAGCAAGGTTCGAATCCGTGACCTAGTAATTGAAAGTCAAATGCTTAAATCAGTAAGTCGCTGCGCTCCATGACAAAATAAATTTGATAACATGAATAGACTAGACAATATGGATAATGATCGCTAAAGAGCCCCTCGCGATTGTCATTATAGCATAATTTCATCACTCATTCTTAATATTATCATCATTAAACTATTATATTATATCCTCTGAGTCAATCAAGATGGGATACATAAGTGGATATCTTCATTTAAGTAGTAAACGACAAATGAACAGAAATTTCAATAGAACAGGTAAATATATACATTACACATGGATAAGATTTGTAGCTTAGGTGGATGGATGTCTTAGTGGAATTTCGTTCTCTAAGATGTATGATGATCAAAAAATTCAACTAAGAGAAAGAAACTCCATCAAAATAAATTATACATCTACAAATTTGTCGCCACAACAATCGTTTACGAATAAACAATGTCTTAGTAACTAGTCGACAGATGCATTGATGGCAATGAAAGACATATAGCAAAATATCCATTAGTCAACAAACTGACTATGTGAAATAATCATATATATATTCCAAGTTTTCATTACAAGAAACATGATTGAAATAACTGACATACCCTGGAGCTTTTCTTGATTAAAGGCTTGACGACGTTCCTCCAGTGTTTGTGAAGGTATTAAACGAGCTTTTGAGTTAGGATCCTTCAATGAACGTACCTTTTTAAAAAATAAACCATGAAACAATGCATAAAACTTTATATCCTGAATACATATCACAGCCCGATTAATATTTCCATTCTCATTAAAACAAACAAACAAAAGTTTAGAGTTGTATGAAATTATTGACACTTATTTTGAGTGGTATTAGAAAGTATAAACGATTTCTCGAATAGGTGGTTAGTGACCATTGAGGTAATCTGCACAAGATGTAAATATGGTAACAAAGGTTGATAGAAGTTCAAGACCAAATAATGACAATAAGATAGCCCGAACACATACTAATGAAGACATTCAGAAGGATTGGTCTATATTTAGATGGAAAGTTAGTCTGTTCATAGATGATTTAAACTGCTTGTTGATATATTCAAAATATACGTTGTCTTGTGTTGTTAAGTAAAGGGATGAATGCTTTCAATCAAAGTTAACTGATGTTCAATTTATTGAACATAAAACCAACAAACGTTCAACAGTATTAACCGTCGGAAATAGCGTTATAGTGAAGCTTCTAAGTTTTTTATATAATCGATTATCGAAATACAATAGAGGTAACAAACAGAACTTTTTGATCAAAATTATGTATATCATCATTAATTTTCAGTTTATTTCCTTATCATGGACACCAATAGGATAAATACTATCTTCATAGGTACATTACTTTTGTTGCTATCAATAAACTCGATTTTAAAACATTGCTTCGTTTTCTTCACTTCATTCCTATAACTGAACAAACGAGTAAGCGAACACTTCCGTTCATGGTTGGGAAATGTTATGACCAAAACAACACGCAGCTTTATTCTATCAGATATGGTCGATAACGGTCATGTAGTAGATAGAAACAAATCACTTAAAGTAATCTATCATATACCTAATTCCCTTCCTTATATATTTTGATCTTATCTCTCACATGTAGCAGAAGCTATATGGATTCGAACTAATAATCAAAGTTTTTGTAACCATCAGAAATTTGTAATACCTTTATCTCTTGGTTGATCGAATTAGGCCCAGAAAACGATTTTTTGCTATCACTGACCCATAAACTGTTATAACTGACTTAATAACTTTACGCACTGTTATAACTTGTGACCGCCGATTAGAGAGCAGTGACTTATCGATCAGATCAATGACGCGTAAACCCGTATGAGCAGTCTAGATTCCTCACTGGTCCTGCTTTCCGCTTAGCCCAGCCAGTTAAGTCCAGAACACCAATCCAAGCCTCTGTGATATGAATCGTTATGTTTCAAACATGCTGAGTTTATATTACCAATCAAACAGACCACAACGTACCAATAAAATATGAAACAACATTTGTACAAGATATAGCCAGATGTGGCTGTGAATGAGGGAGGTAGTAATTAATATACTGGGCATAATTCAAGAATGGTAAAACGTATAATAATAGTTTATGGGTCAAAATAAAGCTTATAATAAGAGGGACATAAATATGAACAGTTTAGTTAATTAACAATTATACGATAGAAATATACGTTTAGTATTGGTCCGTTAATGTATCCCAAAAGTTACCATTCATTATTCTTGTCGGGACATAACACGTACAAAAATATTACTGTACATTAGAGTAAAGCCTGACGACGAACTAATTGAAAACAATATTTATTTGCTTATATGTTTCGTTCTAATTATTAATATCGTTTATCAATGATTCATCAATTTTTTAATTTATGAATCAAGATCCACCCTTCCTATGTCCTATAAACACACACATACACACATGCAAAACTCAAATCCTAACACACTATAATGACGATATTTACATGGCTTTTTCTCGATAATTAGTATTATGACCATCATAATATCATACAACTAGATCCATTGATTAGTTTGAACAACGAACAACAACAACAACAAGGTTTGCAGAATAAAATGTATTCATCATTCTATTTCACGGTTTCTCATCAGCTACATACAATCTGAAATCACGAGATATTTTAAAAATATAATTTCCTTTTTAATGTTTTACATAATAAACTCGGCATCCAATTACTGTGAAACTATTCGATTTATTTTAGGCGAAATTTCGTATAAATGATTAATTGATATTTTATAAATTTTACATAAATCACTGAAATTTGATAATCTTCTTAGTTAATGAAATGGAGAGAATCTTATTTCGAATGCTACTCTTCTTTTTTTGACTGAGATCATGAATCGATTGATGTTAGACCACTGGATGTCAGTTTCGTCCTAGTATGGGACTCCTCAGCAGTGTGCATCCACGATCCCGCACACGGGAATCGAACCCATGTCCTTCGGTCTCGAGAACGAACGATTAACCTCTAGACCACTGACCACTGAATCGGCATCCAACAGTGTTAATGTCTAAATTTAACCAATTCGTATCAAATAGAGACAGGTATCTACCTCAAACAATGGAAGATAGTCACGAGATTTCGTGGACTGGTTAAACTCAGACAATAACATCGTTGGAGGACGACCAGTTCAGTGGTCTAGAGGTTAAGCGTTAATCCACGTTCGGGATCTTGGATGCGTACTGTTGAAGAGTCCCATACTGGGAGGAAGCGGCCGTTCAGTGCTTCTAGGTTTTCAATGGTGGTCTAACATCAATCGATTTGTGATCTCAATCGAAAATTTAACAATCTCCACAACCCCATACTGACTTTTCTTATTTAACGAAAAAAAATTTGTCACCATACTATTGCTATTCATACATAGTTTGCACGCATTGATGACTAATCACTGTATTTCATGTATCGCATCCCACACACATAAAAACCACAGAGCAACATATATGTATATTGATTATTTTCCAAATGTATCATAATTATGAAACAGGTGTATTAAGCGAGAATATTTCCAAAAGAAATGCAACAACTCATTGTCAAATCATGTGACTACAATAAGATAACCAGCTCATTTAAATGAACGATTTCACAATAGATTTTAATAGTAAAAGGAAGCATATGATTATGGTCATCATCATAACAACAATATGACATTTAATTTATACAAATGTCGAACCATGATCAATGTCACAAACACCTGTGAATAATGAATAATCTATGGTGTGTGTGTGTATATATGTAGTACACTTTGGAGAGAGAGAGAGGTAGAGAGGTAGGGGGAAGTGAGTGAAAAGGTTGCAAACACATGAGAATAACGTGAATGGAAGTTCTGTTTCTGATATAAGCCTACATTTGATTATTTACTGTTGTTGTTGTTGTTCGATCAGCAAATGTGTACGTGTTGATCATAGTAATCAATGTGCATACATCGATCGTTACAAATAAATAAATTGATTAAGATAGAGATTGAGAATTATGGAACTAAAGTTGGCCGTTCATATTTTGCTAGAACAAAATATTTTGTCTCAAATTAACGACTTTTATTGGATAATAAACAACAACTATTATGGTAAGACTATAATTTATGGACAACTTTTGAGCAACGCTAAAATGACCTTGGAATGTCCACCTACTTACCAGGGTTAAAAATGAGGGTTATATAATAGTGTGAGGAATTAGATTTGCAATTTAATGTTCGAGTTATGAATTAAGTTTAATGTTTTCATCACTAACTAACATAAGCTATAATGCCGAAATGGTATTTAGCCAAATGAGTGAATGAATTTCGTGCCAAAATCCAAGACCTGCTATCTTAAATCCGATTGGTTCGTCCATAAATGATAGTCTCACCAATATTATTCATCAGTATAAGATTGTGAAGATTGTTGAGTTTTGATTGAGATCATGAATCGATCAATGTTAGACCTGGAAGCCGTCCAGTGCTTCCGAAATATTTGTGAAATGAAAAGTTAATTTAATTTTAGGCGATTACATAATAGATAAATTATCGATCATATGAATAATATGACGATATGAAATCAAATAGCTATTAATAGTTTTGTCAAAGAATAATCCATTCTTCCAAAAACAACGACAACAAAAAATAACAAGATGATATAACACTGATGATTAGTGATTACTTTTGAGATGAATTTATGTGAACATCTATCTGCGAAGAAATTGTAACTCATGTTAATCAGTATGAAGTTTTGTAGAGATTGTAGTAATTTTAATAGTTGAATTCATGAGTCGACCTCAGTTAGACTACTATTGAAAACCTATGAACACTGGATAGCCGTTTCGTCTTAAGATGAGATTTCTCAATAGTGCGCACCCACGGTCCCGTACGCGGGACTCGAACCCTAGTGAATTCAATTACTACACAACATGGCAGCAATCAATACCAGCCGAACAAGAGCAGAGAAATCCAAGACACAAGCTGAATATACAGAAGTAAACAAGCTGGTGAAGAGGAGCATCAGAACTGACAGACGTAAATATGTGGAAGATCTAGCAATGACGGCGGAAAAGGCTGCAATAGAAGGAAACATGAGACAGTTGTATGACACAACAAAGAAATCTGCTGGAAATTTTCGTAAACCAGGACGACCAGTGAAAAGCAAGGTAGGCAAAGTAATCACCAACATTGAAGAGCAACAAAACAAGTGGGTAGAACACTTCAAAGAACTCTTGAATCGACCAGCTCCACTGAACCCACCCAACATCGAAGCAGCACCCACAGACCTGCCAATCGATGTTGGCCCACCAACATTTAGAGAAATCAGCATGGCCATCAGACAAATCAAGAGTGGCAAAGCAGCAGGACCGGACAACATTCCAGCAGAGGCACTAAAAGCAGACGTAGCGGCAACTGCAAGGATACTCCACATTCTCTTCAATAAGATTTGGGATGAGGAACAAGTACCAAAAGACTGGAAAGAAGGACTTCTGATCAAAATATCGAAGAAAGGCGATCTCAGCAACTGTGATAACTACAGGGGCATCACTCTTCTCTCAATACCGGGAAAAGTCTTCAACAGGGTATTGCTAAACAGGATGAAGGACTGTGTACACGCCCAACTTCGTGACCAACAGGCAGGATTCCGTAAGGATAGATCGTGTACAGACCAAATCGCAACTCTACGGATCATTGTGGAACAATCAATTGAATGGAATTCATCACTCTACATCAACTTCATTGACTACGAAAAGGCATTTGATAGAGTGGACAGAACAACACTATGGAAGCTTCTTCGACACTACGGCGTGCCTCAGAAGATAGTCAATATCATACAGAGTTCATATGATGGATTACACTGCAAAATTGTGCATGGAGGACAGTTGACAAAGTCGTTCAAAGTGAAGACCGGTGTTAGGCAAGGTTGCTTACTTTCACCCTTTCTCTTTCTCCTGGTGATCGACTGGATCATGAAGACGTCAACGTCTGAAGGGAAGCGCGGGATACAATGGACATCTAAGATGCAGTTGGATGATCTAGACTTAGCAGTTGATATGGCTCTTCTATCACTAACGCAACAACAAATGCAGAAGACGACCAGTGTAGCAGCAGTAGGTCTCAACATACACAAAGAGGAAAGCAAGATTCTCCGATACAACACAGCATTCATCGATCCAATCACAATTGAAGAAGATTTTGAAGATGTAGAAACCTTTACATATTTGGACGGCATCATCGATGAACATGGTGGATCTGATGCAGATGTGAAGGCAGTAGAATTGGAGAAAATCTGAAACTAAAAACAACTGTCAACCAACACCGAAGTCAGGATTTTCAATACAAATGTCAAGGTAGTTCTACTGTATGGAAAACTAATACAATCATCATCGAAAAAGTACATGTGTGTATAAACAATTGTCTACGCAAGATACTTAATGTCCGTTGGACGGATACCATCAGCAACAGCCTACTGTGAAAGAGTATGAACCAGGTTTCAGCTGAAGAGAAAATTAGGAAAAGACGATGGATGTGGATAGGAGATACACTGTGGAAATCATCAAACTGCATCACGAGGCAAGCACTGACTTGAAATCCTGAAGGAAAAAAACGAGAGGAAGACCAAAGAACCCACTGAGTCGGGAATTGGAAGCAGATATTAAAAGGATGAATAGTAACTGGAAACAAGTTGAAAGGATTGCACAGGATATATTTGGATGGAGAATGCTGGTTGGCGACCTATATTACTTCACGAGGGGTAACAGGTGTAAGTAAGTAAATATACTGGCGAGCGCTAAATGGCAAGAAATACAGGACCAAGTTTCCCTGTTGACTAACACCAACCACAAAATATTAACAGTGTGAAAAAACTCACAGTTTTTCACCTCTAAACATACCTGCCACCAATTAGGATCCTGATCATTTACTAGCTCCAAAACATCCCCAGATTTAAAAGACAGACCAACATCACCAGTGGGTAGAAGACTGTCTTTTGTTGCATCATAGTCGAATAAGCATCGAACATAGCGCTAAATTGAAAAAAAAAGACAAAAACAGATAACTAGACCTGTGGAGAGAAAATCATTACAAGAAGAAATGACAACCTTCATTTACACTTCCGATTCGATAAAGAGAGTAAACTTTTATGATGAGAACTTGAGGCAGGAGCATATAATATCATCGTTTGAGGAATTCGACAAAATAAAACGATGAACAAACAAGAGATTAAATAAGTTTAAATAATTTATGGGGATTTTCACTTTTATTTGGAAATATTAATCTTCATTTTTATTAATGAGAAAAAGCTGATTAACAATGTGACTGAAATTACTCAGTCTACTAACTACTCCGGGAATAACTGATACTATCATAAAAATAGATAAGTACTGCAATTGATCAGTCTCTATTGGCATATTTAGATGATGATGAAAGGAATGTCACAATATTTTCATTTAATCATGATTTATTATTAAAATTAAATGGTGGCTAGCAGTGGAATCCAGGACAGGGAATTCGTTCTATTAGGGAGTCATCAGCTACATGTATCTGCAGCTCATTGTTGATGTTCACACTTGAACCCAGTACCCTTGGCTTCAAAACAAATTAAGTGAATGAGCCAATCAGCTTAGTAAATAACGCATTGGCGATTAAATAGAAAGAAACTGAGTTCAGTTGTCAGTGTGAACATTAACACTGGGATGCAGGTACATCCAAGCGACATATTCCAAAAACAATATGACAAGCGTCATGATTCCCGCTACCTAGACAATAATTTAATAAAAAAGTCTTACCACTATGTAGTTGGGATACTTTTACAAAATAACCTCTAAATCTAGGGAAGAACTAGGATACTACTGTATTAAGAAGCTCCAAGAGTTAGATTGCAGCAAATTGACAGAATCCATTCATATATCACAATAGAACTCGAAAATCAACAAATAAATTTACATAACCACCATTGAGTAATACACTATTCTGTGTAATATGCAATGATACCTAATTGAATAAAAACACATGTTGCTTTGAATATAAGCTATACTAGAGTACAAGAGTCATAAGTGGCATCAGTCAGTCAGTCAGTCAGTAACAACGTAGAACTTCGTACGTACGTACATCAGTTCGAGTTGCCACACCACATTAGCACAGAGATGCACTTGTCGATTCAAATCCCGTAGTGGTAGAGGTAATAAGAGTATAAGCAGTAATCGGGAAGATTAGGGTTTGGAGATGTTATTTAAAGAGTATAATCCAGTGAAAGAAATTTGGAAAGAGGAAAAAAAGGGACATGAAGAATTCAGAAGATTAGAATTTGGGAGAACACAGAGAGTGGATGCACCTGCGCCATTGCAAACGATTTTGAGCCATGTCATTCAGGGTCTCTAACCATCGGTTGCTGTCATCTCGCGGTCCCCAACCAGGTAGTCTACACCTACCAACATGACTCAGTTCACTTGTCAGTGACTTCATGGACTTGTGCCATGTTTTGGTTTGGCCGCCCCTAGCTTTCTTCCAACCTACTCCTATACCACTGAACATAGCACGTCGAGGCAGTCGGTCGTTGGGCATACGTAACACGTGTCCCAGCCATCTCAACTGATGAAGTTTCACTACGTCATCAATTGATTTGCCATCCTTACCTAGTACCCGTTTCCTAACAACTGTGTTACTTACTCGATGGTCCCATGATATATGAGCAATGTTTCGAAGACACCTATGATCAAATACTAGTAACCTACGGATATCCTCTACTCTTACCGGCCATGTTTCACTGCCATAAAGTAGGACGGAACGAACTGCTGCGCAGTAAACACGTCCTTTGGTTGATAGACGGATATCTCGCCTACGCCATAAATGACGCAAGTTGGCAAAAGCTAGTCGAGCCTTCTGTATCCGTGCTGAGATTTCGTCACACACTAAACCACAAGGGCTGATGAGACTTCCAAGATAAGTGAAGCGGTCGACACACTCAACTACTTCACTCCCTATCACTAGTTCGGGTGTCGATGTAACCCAATCCTGAAGCAACATTTTGCATTTCGAGGGAGAGAATCGCATCCCGAACATGCTTGCATTGTTGCTTAGAGTGGTCAGAAGACTCTGCATTTTGTCAGTGTCTTCACCAAATAAAACTATGTCATCAGCATATTCTAAGTCAACAAGTGAACCTCCTGGTAGAAGTTCAACCCCTGTAAATTTAGATGAGGAGAGTGTTATCTCTAAAAGTACGTCGACCACAAAGTTGAACAAGAATGGGGAGAGTGGACAGCCCTGACGAACACCACTTGAGGTGATCAATTCTGATGACAGTTCGCCATAAGCTCTCACTCGACCAGTTGTGTTCGAGTAGAGAGCCTTTATAAGGTTAATGTACTTCTTTGGTACTCCTTTCAGTGACAAACACTGCCATAGAACCTCACGATCAATCGAGTCGAATGCCGCCTTAAGGTCGAGAAATACTACCATTGTGGGGCGTCTGAATGTGTGTCTGTGTTCTAGAACCTGACGTAGTGTGAATATCTGATCTATACAACCACGTCCAGGTCGAAAACCAGCCTGGTTTTCTCTAGTCTGCTCTTCACGAGCTTTAGTTAGGCGTCGAAGTATTATTGAAGCTAATATTTTAGACACTATATTAGTCAAACTGATTCCTCTGTGATTGTCACAAGAGGACTTTTGTCCTTTCTTAAAAACTGGCACAATCAGTGATTGAGACCAGTCAGATGGGATTACGTCCAGTTCCCAAATTCTACCTAAGACCTCAGTTAATCTCATTGCTAATACTGGACCACCATCCTTAAAAATCTCAGGAGTAAACCTGTCAGGGCCTGCTGCTCTCCCTCGTTTCAGATTTCCTATGGCTTTTTCAACTTCGTAAAGGGACGGAGGACCTACATTAACTTGCCATTCAGGTTGACTGGAGATCGTGGGAAACCGAAGTGTGGCTGAAGGCCAGTTGAACTGATCCCTAAAGTGTTCTGCCCATCGATCCAATCTCCTGGATTGAGAATGAATAATATGTCCATCTTTCTCTGAGATTGTTTCGCTAACGGTCGGGTTCCTAATTCCGGTTTCCTTAACGAGTCTGAACAATTGTCTGCTATTACCTATTGCCGCTGCCTTTTCCATCTCTCTTGCTTTCGCTACCCACCACTGTTCGCGATCATTGCGTAGACTTCTTGTCAGCTTGCGCTTAAGCTGACTCCGCTCTTCATTATGTTCAGAGCCAGGTGGAATGTGTTTCCGAGCATCTATCAGTGAGATAGATGCTGCTGAGATCCAGTGTTGCTCCCTAACCTTCTGGTTTACCTTACTAGCAGATATCACTGCTGTTTCCACAGCTTTTCGGATATCATTCCATGCTGCATCGGGGTGGGCATCACATACATGGCTGCCTAACTGTTTTCCTAGTTGTTCCTGAAATATACTCTTAGCTTGACTATCATTAAGTAGGGCCCTAAGAGGTTTCCTTGCAGCGTCTTTCCTACGTCCAGTAAGACGCAAGCAAATACGCGCTCGCACTAGAGCATGATCTGAATCTAGGCATGTGCTCCAGAATGAGCGACAGTCTTCTATCGAGCCCCTCCATCGGTGGCTGATAGCGATGTGATCTATTTGGGTCCAACGTTGGGACGAATTAGGGGGTCGCCATGTTAAAAGATGTTTTTCCTTATGCTTAAAGTTAGTATTTGCAAGGAACAGGCGGTTATCTGAGCATAGCTGCAACAGACGGTCGCCATTATCTGTTCTTTGAGCCACGACACCATAAGATCCACCTAGGTGTCTTTCCTTATCACTTAGTTTGCCTACTTGAGCATTAAAGTCACCGGCCACTATTACTACATCCGAGCGCCTAGCTTTTCGGAGAAGGTCCGAAAGCTTTCTGTAAAACTCATCTTTTACATCATCTGAGCTGCAGTCAGTGGGAGAATAGGCAGAGACGACGAAGAGGCAACGACGAGTGTCCCTATCTTTCCGGATTCTTACTGTTCCGTTCAGTCGGACAGCGCACAAACGACTGTCTACTGGGATCCACTCTAAGAGAGCTAGTTCTGCCCTAGGACTCAATGCTATACCTACGCCGGCGAGGCCACGGGAAGCAGAATCAGGGCTTCCAGATACACGAAGCGTAAATCGAGTCGGTTCTTTATTTTGGCATGGTGAGGTCAAATGAATGACGCTACTTGGATCCTGTATGCGCGTTTCGGAGACGCAGCACACATCGATGGCGCGAGATTCTAAAGTTTTAGCTAAGGAAGCCTGCTGTCCTATTTGGCAAAGTGTTCGTACGTTAAAAGCTCCTACGTGTAGTTTAGAGCGTGGTTTCAGGAGACCAGGAATGGCGTTCCACGTACTCGAATCGTTTGCCCTAGCGGTGCGAGGTGATAAAGAGACGTGAGGAGGGTTAGTCGGGAGGATAAGAGAAGTATTAGGAGGTGTAGGAAGGATTTGAATGTGACCACCTTGGTCTCTTGTGCTGTTACGGGTATGAGGGCTGATGTCACTTCCCGGCTGCCCACACCGTGGAAGGGTATTTCTTGAGGAACCTGAAAAGGAAATTGGATTAGTGTTGGTCTTGACGACCTGGGAGCGTGACCGCAGAGCCCAAGGGACAACTGCTTGAGGCCGGTCGCGCACGGCCTTTTTGTGGAAGGTTTTTGACGTGTTAGCTCCGTTCTTCAAGGGGCCTTACCGCCGGAGACGGAAATCCGTGAGGTAAGGTGAGGTGTGCATTTTTAGGGTCGACCTTTTCTAACCCCACCCCTCCTTGTGGGAAGGCAGCATCGCTGTCATGCTGGTTGTCCGAGGGAAACACCTTACTGCTGTCACACCTCTCTACAGTCAGCAGTACGACTTCGCCCTCAGACCTTGAGTTGCTGCTTTTAGTCTTACCGTTCGCCAATCGACCTGCCTGGCATGGTAGAACCTGCAGGAACATATGTTCCAGCCAATATAGCTCGGTTGGGTCATCACGATAGGCAAGCCCGATCACCGCGTCAAGGTAGCAGCTTCGATCGGGAGTGGCATAGTGTCAAATGTATTACTGGATATATTGAGGATATATTTATCCAGTTTATACAATGTGTTAAAAGCAATAAGTCTCTTTTATCAATTTGAAAGAACAATTAGAAAACATAATCGATCATTCACGGGTTATGAAACATGTGTCTAGATGGCATCAGAGCTAATTAGTGTGAAATGCTCCCATAAGTGTGTCGGAATTAGAAAACCACTTTCATCAATAGCGAAATATATAATAGAAACGGGGCATCGAATTGACGTCAATACAGCTTTTTAAACGTTTATAGAGGCCTTGACTCTTCGTAAATTCAAACCCCCTTTATATGTCCAGAAAGAATTTATCGTAACCTTGAATTTTCCTTCGTAATTTTTAAGCCATTTTATGGCCTAAGGCAGTGTGACGACTTCCTATTTTTTCCAATATCAGTTTAATTTTTCCTCTCCTTTGTTTACAATTATCGCTTAGCCGTTCAGTGCTTCCAGGTTTTCCAAAGTGGTCTAGCTTCAATTGACTCATCGTCACAACTATTAAAAATACTATAATATCCACAAAGCCCCTTCTGATAATAATCAGCATATGCTCACTAGTGACTGGCTTCAAGATGTATTTCCTGGAGTTCTAGTGAAAAGTAGTGACCAGTGGAGTTCAACCGAGTCAGTTGTGAGACAGTAACTCACTGATGACAATGGTGGATGTGTCACTCAATTTCGTGGATTAGTTGAAGTTAGACATTAACACCGTTGTATCCCGGCTCAGTAGTCTAGAGTTTAAGCGCTCGCGCGTGAGACCGATAGGTCCTGGGTTTGAATCTCGCGAGGCAGGATCGTGGATGTGCACTGTTGAGTCCCACAATAGGACGAAACGACCGTCCATTGCCTCCATGTTTTTCATGGTGGTCTAGCCTCAATGGACTCATGACCTCAACTATTAAAATTATCAGTTTGTTTATTTGAATTTTTATTAAATTGAGCTTGATTAGTTTTCATAAAAGATGGCTTGACAAGTTTATGTGTGACTGTATTGTTCAAAATGTATGGCGCAAATACATTTTTCAGACCAACTCTAACTTCTCACTGGTATACCGAGTGCATTGAAATGCAGTGCTGTTAGTGCATCGGTTATTTTTAATTAAAGTTTAATGTATCTCAGCTCAGCGTCGTTAGCCTAACAAATTGACCCACTACTATTGATGCTGAATATTCAACTGCTAATTGATTATTACATATGTCCATCTCTCTTTCTCTCTTGTAAGATGCACAAGTTCAAAAAAGAAATAACAATTTCGATAAATTGCCTCGATGATAAATAAATAACGGAGAAATACCATGAACAAATCTAAAAGTTCAATAATCAATAAGAAGGACAGAAGAATTATATTCAAATAAGATGAAAATATTTTAGTAAAACAATTAATTCTGTTTTTCCTTCTATGCTAATTATGTAATTAGAAAGGTGATTTACAATGCAAATGAATAAAGAATACGTGGAAATTAATGTATCTTAATTTAGAGGGATGTAAGTATTGATATATAATACCAAGATGTAATAAGTAATTCTAAGATTGAATCGTTTGAATAAATTGAAAATGAATGGACAAAATTCTGATTAGATTATGGTTGATGATCTAAGTTAGTATAGGCATGAAAGTTGAAAACAGGGAAAAAGAGAACAATTGTGTTTTACATTTATATACTATAGTGAAAGTGCATCAATGTGAAGTCATTGAGTGTTGATGCATATTTTGTTGTGAACACAACTGGACTAGACAAGTGAAGAACATGATGGAATCAATTCACAATATAGTCACACGATATAAATAATACTTAAAGTAATAAACAGTCTAAAGAGTAATGCACAGATGATTCCAATTTATTTTAGAAAATAGTTGGGGACTGGCTAACACGGAAGGTAAGACCGCTGTGGATTATATAACTCATTAATTCGGAAGGACAAATGGCAATTATCGATTCCGTTACGTAGTATTTCCTGACTGAGTTTTTACTTGATACTAACTAGTATAAACTAACAGTCGAGTTCTTAATAAACCGAAACATAGGAACTTGCATAGAGATGTCAAACGTATAAGGGAGATAGAGAAATGAACCACTGATTTAGGATATTGTCTATAGATCTGGGAAATATTATGTATTTCTATGATTAACGCAGTTGAAACTGGTTGATGAAGCCTAGTATGAAGTACAAACTTTAAAAAACACGGATATAATGTAAGATGAGCTATTTTAAGAGAATAAGGGAATTTTAATGTACAGTTTTTAAGTCTCCATAATGGTAGCTCGACAAGTCAGCTAGGGGAATTATAAGACATACTGATGATAAGGTCAAACGACAATGATTTATGGGCATTACTGAATCGTTCTGCAAATGGTTGGGATAAATGAAACTATTTAGTCATTTATATATTATTATTCTTAAAAATAATGTTTACAAAGTACAAGTTTATGCATTCGACTTTCAGCTAAAATGATTTTGTAAGTGCGATAGGTATTATAATCAAGCTGCTAAAACAAGGATGATGGGAAAGGGTTGGAAGCCGATTAGCTTAACGCTAAGCTCCATTGCACCGATTTCTCAAAACCAAAGCATGAAAACTCATAAATGGCTACTGAGTGGTAGTGTATTTAACAGTTGGTAATGTAAATTATGAAATAAACCTCCAATAAAGTTAAATACATTGTGCTCAATGGTAAATAATTCCAAAAGGTAATTCTTGGAGTTAAAGTGAAAGTTTGTGACCAGTGCAGTACCATTATATGAAATACAAAAAAGTGGTCATCCAATGAGAATGGAAAATAGTTGTTCAGTATCACAAAATTGACTGAGTTAAAAATGTAATCCAGTAGATGTTTACTTAATGGTCTGAAGATGAAATACGTCCATCACAGGGACTGAATCCCGTCACTGGCAAGATCGTGGATGCGTACTGCTGAGAAGTCCTATGTTAGCACAAAAAAGCTGTTCAACAGTTCCTGGTTCTTAGTTGCTTCCTAACTAAGGTCACTTCGTGGTATAAACTTTACATCACTATACATTCTTTGTCAAAAATTCCTAATTTCATTTCACTATTTATAATCATTAAAATATGACAATGAATAAAAATGTAAGACAATTACAAATACATTATATATAGAAATAATTTAATTAGTAAAAGAAAAATCATAATACCTAAAAATCAATTCATAAATGACATACTTTAGTCTTTGAATTCGAATTGGAACACTGAATACTAGAGCGTAGTATGCCTTCTTTAGGTGCTTGTACTAATAGTTTACAATCAATTAAACTAGATGTTTGTTGAATTTGAGAAAATACTTGCTCTAATGTATGAACGCGTAAACCATTGATTTCTAGGAGAATATCACCAGGAAATAAACAACCTAAAAAAAAACACATCGATAGTAACGGTAAAAAGAAGACAAAATGAAGAGCAAAAATCTTGTCTGTCAATAGGATTAAATGGTAAGAAATATGCGAAGAAAGGAAAAAAATCAATAAAAAGCAATACGGAAAGTATACTGTTAATTAAGCAATCTGTCTAATAAGTACACGAACTCAAGTGATCATAAAAACTATTTTACGTGATTAGAAGGTTTGCGTGGACCTAGGTTTTCTGATAGTTAGACGACGGTCAATAAGAAGTACTTGAAATCATAATAGAAGTACCATTTCCTGTGAGATCAATTTGATCAGTAGGATCCGGTTAATATTGAAGGATTAAATGATGCTGGGATTAGTTATTACTCAGTGAGCCGGTTAATTTGTAATAGTGTTAACTACATCCGGGTTATTCACTAGGTGAGTTCTTGATTATTCCGTTCGTTTAGCATAAAAAATGATCGAGATATTCATAACAGTGGATATAAGGGGTTTTAACGTTCGAAGAAAGTTCTGCTGGATTATGGGATGGGGTCCTATACACAACATATCTATTCAGTTCTTCTAGAAACATTTATCAGTTAGACTATTCAGTCGAGAAAACATAGAAAGTAATAGATATGTGCATTGTTTGAAACTGTTGCATTAAATCAACACAAAGAGATAAAAGTAACAAGGTGAATAGTACTACAACTGGAAGGACTAGTGAGAATAAGAAATATATTCCGAAGGCAAACTAAAGGATTAAAAATACAAAATAACAACAACGATAAAAAATGAATACATCTGCACAACAGTGGGAGATTTTGAGTTAAATCTCCTACAACCTCACACACAGAGAGAACGATTATCGTATGGATTGCTCATTCACAAACAAACCAATCTAATAGTTAATTACTAAATGGACTAATCCCATGTCTTAACTAATTTTAGTTTTTAGGTATTAACAACAAGGCTTGTCTTGATAATTTCAAATAAATGAAACATTTTTAATAAAAACAGTATCTTTGTAACATTCCACTGAGCGGAAAAATTACATTTACGAACGTTTCATAACTCATTGTAAGCCACTTCTATAGAGAATTAATAAACATGAATCTCTGAAGAATTGCTTTACGATGAGTCATGAAACGTCAAAAGGTCCTGGGTTCGAATCCCGCGTGCGGAGTCGTGGATGAGCACTCCTGAGGGGTCCCATATTGTGGATAAACGGCCGTCCAGTGCTTCCAGATTTTCAATGGTGGTCCAGTTTAAATCGACTCATGAATTCAACCACTAAAAATATATTTTTATTATTCATTTTTAGTTCTGTTGCAATGCAATCCCAGGGTAACCGGTATTGCACACCGAGAAAGCCAGTCTTTGGACATGCGTTACACATGTTAGTTGGTGAAAATTCATAGTTGAAAGCGTTCACCTACGGAGCTGATACCAATTGTCCATGCAGGGTGCGCTTCAATGGCTGGGTACAACGACAGGAAAAGTTAAAGTGCTAAATTTATTTTGCTGGTTTGTGGCTTTTGAACCCTTTTACGATGGCTTTGAAGGAGACTAATCACGTATAATCAGGCTTACCAATGTTAAACTGGTTATAGTAGGTTTTATGAGCTTGATTAATTTTCCTATTAAGAAGTTACAATCAACGACAGAGTTAATTAGAATAAAGTAAGAGACTTAATTGACATGTTTTTATAGCGAAGCTTCGTTGCTTTACTCCATTTGTACAACAGTTTGAATAATAAATAAACGTTTATCACGCAAAGTTATATTTAAAGAGGTGAATCAAAGAAAAATAAAAGAGTACGTACAACCAATCTGATGGACATTCTAGTTATTGTTTGACCTAGCATTCTTCCGCATGAAACCTCGACGACAGTTTATCTCTACAGTGATCGGTGCAGCGTAAAACAAGTAATATGAAGCACATAGTAATAAAATGATAACAATCGAATGGTCACTATGGGGGTTGTTGAGGTCACGAGCCGATCTAAGTTAGAAAACTATTGACAACCTGAAAGCGTTGAACAGCCGTTTTGTCCTACTCTGGAACTACTCAAAATTTTTCAAAGGAGTAAATGGTCACTCAATATCGCGAACTGATTAAAGTTACACATGTACACCACATAAATCCAGCTCATTGGTCTAGAGACCAAGTGTCCGCGCATTAGATCGAAGGTCCTGGTTTCGATCATCAATGATATTGTAATTGTTGTGCACCTGCTAAGGAGTCCTATACTAGGACGAGACAAATGTTCAGTGCTTCCAGTTTTTCAGTGTTTGTCCAACATAGGTCGGTTCGTGATCTTAATAATTAGAGGTTTTGCCAACACAAACAAATTTTAATAAATACTCATAGAAATGTGCAGAATGGTAGCGAGAAAAAGACTGTGATAATATGCTTTTTTTAAAACTACCTTTCTATAAATGTATGAATATGACATAATACTGAAAGAATTTAGGAGAAAGTAAAATGACCAACAGATACAGATGTCGAAATTCGTACAAGAAACCTTATTTACATAATCTATAATTGCTATGTCTGGTGAAGATTATCGATTAAGAATGATGATTAATTCGTAAAAGACCAATTTACTAATCAAATAAGAGGAAAAAAATTGGTACGGTGTCATTTATTTAAATAAGGAAATAATGTCTGTTTTTCTTTTTGTAAAGGGAAAAATGAAAACAAAAAAACAGAAAACACGAAACACATGACACATCACCTATTCAAAAAGAACAAAAACACTTTATAAACTCTGGCATACTTTATTTGAAACAGAACAGATAAGTAGAGAGAATAGGAAATGTCAACTATCGGAACGCCAGAAGGCTGGATCTGATAGAAGTAAATTGCTAGTTTTAAGTCTCCAAACGCATTTATCAATGATCCAAATTGTTAAAATAATTTCTGTCAAAGTAACATGAAATTTATGTTTATCTTGGGAGTTTCTAGTCATAATTATTTTTTAGTGAAGATATTTTATCGGACAAACCGTAGTGTACTTGATTTTGGGCAATTAGTTTTTATTGTGTAAGAGCCAATGATACTATTCAGTCGGTTAGCTCGAAGTGAAGTTGTATCATTAAAAGCTCAAATGGTTTATCAATTAAGTAGCTTCTTATGGTCCTTACTAGTAGACCAGAAAATTAAAACATGAAAACTGCTAACAGTATTACAGGATGGGTTGGTTATTAGTAGAGTGTGATTAATCTGTTCAACGTAGCGAATAGTATTTTCCAGCCGATCATTGTTCACTAATAATCTTAAAGATAAATTATCGCATCTGAACAACTCAATGTGCATTTACCAATTTACCTGCTCATGTGGAGCTAGGTATATAGGTCGTTAGATGCGTACTTTATCCAAAAGAATTCAAGAACACTATCCTGCATGGCTAAAAAGAGGAGGAAACGGCTCAATAAGAAGTTGAATAATCGAACACAGGTCACTCAATCAAAGCAGACACTGCGTTCAGAGTCATCTACAATGTAAGTAGAAGTCTTCCAAAGACAATTAGATTGCATCTTGTTTGCATTGCTGAAGCAATAGTCATACACCTGGAAAGACCAGAATTGTGTGCGTAAAAGAGACTGGTACAACCTCTTCTTCTACCATCGTCTTAATATCTTATAATTTCTCCCTTTCTTCATACTCTTCTTCCTTTATAACCATCTGCTTCACCTTTCATCTTCCCCTTAAATCTTCTGCACCCAACTGGTTTATTTCTATTTCTACGATACTGTTGATTACATTTATTCTCAATTTCAACATTTTATGTTGTCATGCTGAGCCATCCTTTCCCAATGATAATTTCCCTATCTATCTTTTGATGAATATTTAAGCTATTAACAATCAAACGGATATTAAGCTGTTCTTGTTTAAAAATGTTTTGAATACCTCACTGTCATCATGTTTAACAGTTTATTATCAATATTATTATAATTACTATCATCCTGTAAAATAAGTATACATATTTGGGATTGTACAGCATTGAAAATGAATTCGCCGAAGAGAGAACTCTTCGATAAACTAATCTTTTTTTATTTAAAATAAAACAATTTATTCAAAAATACATTTGTAAATACTTAATTATGCATAACTGAAAAATGATCGGATGCGATACAATAAAAAGACACATGTTTAACCTTGTTCCTTTTTTTGTACCCATATAATGTCTTATCTAGAAATGGGAATAATAATTTTATGCCATTAGCCTTTTTTTATTCACATAAAATTTTCTTTCTTCCCATACATACAGTCTATCTACAATCAGATATAAGGATTTTCATAATATTGTGTCATATATTATGCAGTATTGTAGTATAAAATGCCTGCAACATCTCCTTATAAAAAGCTTCTATAGTCTTTATTATTTGTTCTATGATATTGACTAGCATTGAGGTAATAGTATTCATTGTAATATATAATGAAATATGGTGCGAAGATTTTTATCTTGTATGAGTGAAAAAAAGAAGAAGATTATGATTATTGTTGGTATGGTGTTAGGGAGGATAGTAGGGCTTTATTGAAATCACGAACCAATCTAAGACAACTGTTGAAAACCTGAATGCTCTGGATAGTTGTTTCGTCCCAGTATTGGACTTTTCGGCAGCACACATCTATAACCGTATCACTATGTATTAAACCCGAGAGTATCGGTTTCACACGACACTTGAAATCTAGATCCCTGGGCCAGAATCTGGTGGCGTACATGTATAACTTCAGCCAATTCATGGTACTGTAAGACCGTTATGATTGCAACTGATTTTTTTTTGCGAAATCGTATTATATAGGAAAACAAACAGGTTCGAATTCAGATAATAAGAGATCAGTAATAGTGTATTAACAGCATGTATACATAGTAGTAGAAAAGTGGTGTGCCATTTACGTAACAAGTAATATTTAACCAATCCAACCAAACTACGAAAGATGTTCTGATGGTTGTTATAATTAGAACTTACAATCTATCCCCGGTTTAGTAAGAAAGAAAACTAACTAAAAACAGTTTTATATGGTCACTTAGAGAGAAATCCCTTTTATAATGTCAACTTGATTTAAACCAAACTACTTTTTGGGTATCTTATAAGGAATTGAGTAGTATCCGTATCCATCAAATTTAGAATATGATTCAAAGTTAAGAATACAAATTTGTACCCAGTGAAGTAGGTCAACAAAATAAAAATAGTATGGAAACTTAGTCTATTCTATATCCTCAAGGGGCAAACCGATATACCCAGATGACATGATAGATGATAGACTGAATGTAATCCAACGAACATATATATAGAAATAGTCTCCTAACCAGATTCATTGATGGTGAACTGAAAGTGAAATGTTAAGTTGAAAGTATGAATTCTGACTTCAAAAATACGATGACACAGAAGGGATCTCTGAGAAAAACATGTTATTTATTTGATATTCAAATTATTTTCTCTATTAAAAATTTTATTCGGGAAATTTTCAACGATAAACTACCATTTTTGACAGCACCACAATCCATGTATAGGCTTATTTGCTTTTTTTTTAAAAAAGTAGATCATACTGATTAGACAAAGCATAAACTTGGTAAACAAGTATAATATGAGCCAGTTATAATAAAACAGAGATTCAAACTTAGAAAGTTAAATCTTTTAGTTGCCTAACAACAACTTCACCACCTATTTAAACTTAGATAGTGGACAAAAACTATAATGATAATTATAATTATGTTTTAATCGAATTGAATTTTGACAATATTACCGACAATTTCAATTATTTCCATGATTGTTATTTGAAAATTAATTAAATTTCATATATGATTACAGTCGGTAAACAGATAGAAAAAGAGATATTAAAAATAATTGTTAATCATTTTAAAAAAAAAAACAAAAATAAATTACAAAGACAAAAGCGCTCATTATGAGGCTAAAAGAATATTAACAACAATAACAATAAATCCAATTGGTATTGTTTGGCTTGTAAGACTGCAATTGATCAATCTGTTATTGGCATATATGCATACTGTGCGTATGCCTCGATATTGCCTTAATTCACAAGCTTTTTGTAAGCAATGATGGATAGTGGCTAGCAGGTACATCTAGCTGACGAGTCACAAATAGGACGAAACGCGCGTCTTGGATTCCACTGCTAACCACTATCCATCATTGCTAACAATAACAATACTTAACACAAATTTATAGGAAAACATTCTCATGTGTATTGGTTTGAATAGAAGGGGAAAAATTAAACTAAACTAAAATGAGGTCATTTATCTATGATTTTTCCTAAGTTTATAAATAATTTTCTTACTTAACTTAGTGTTAACTAGAGAATATTTATTTCTTTAAATATATAAACATTAGTACCAGGAGGCACCAAATAAATATGCGTTACACAAGTCACTTGATTTATGTGTGGGCTGTGATAATGCCCAGACTGAGGCAGGTGGTTTTATTAGTAGGGGGGCGCACCCGAAACCTTCGACCCAAAGGTTTGATCCACAAGGCAGTGGAATATCAATAGGGAATTCGACTTGAATCGTGTAGTGGTTGAACATCATCAATTACGACCTTTTATATGGAGTTGGCAATCAGCGAGGATATGATTATTATTTAAGTCAGCTGGTTGCGCAGATTGGATAAATTTGGGGTAGTTTTTCCATGATACATCTAAAATTAAACAACTTTCATAGATGGTTGATAAAAAGTTATCTAGTTACCTACAATCAGAATCCTGATCGGTGACTGAGAACGCTTAAAAGTCATTCTTTGAAAATCGACTATTCTGCTATAATTTATATGAGATATAATATTTGATGTCACAAGTTGGATTACATGAAGGGAATCATGAATTTGTGACTATTGTTGAATATTGAATGCTTAACTCGATTCGATACCAAGAGACAAGAATTTACAGTTAAATGATCACCGGGTAGTGACCAATTTATGCATGTTAAGTTCATTGAATTCTATTGATCAAGCTGCAGTGTGTCCATTAGTCTAAGTGAATCAAGATCAACACACCATAATACTGAGATGTAAGGTGATGGTTATAGATAGCCGACAGGAAACACTGGACCTAATTGACACTTGTCAGCAAGATGCACCTGTAGTCTTAAGGGGAATTATACTACCCAGTAGATGCCATATCACTCAGCTTCACAGTCAGAAACATTACCAATGAGACATTCGGGCTACATCCTCATCTTTATAGTAGAATAACATGTAGTAGCTGTATACAAATTTCTTTTTCTCAATTCTAATACTACTATCTTTTATCATTCAATAAATATCAATGCTTTGACTTTCAAATATCGATTAACCCAAGATTCAATGAACAAAGACATTATAATGATACCATCGAAGTCAATGTTCATCTAAATACATCGACTTAATACTATATCTTATACCTATGCGAAAATCGAGTAAGTCTCTTGATGTGATGAGGTGTAGTGAAGTGTAGTAATGTAATATGAAAGAAATGATAATAATATGTATTACTTAATCAAATATTATTTTGAATATAAATGTAAAAATCACTTTCTACAAAAATGTCACTTTCAATATTTGTGTGCTACAGATACATAACCAAACATATGCGTGTCTGTCACAAATATTAATATACTGATAATATTTACGACTCGGAAAATCAATGCAGCACAAATCAGCGTGACATTATGTATGTATGAAATATAAATATAGTTACAATTTAGGCTTAGTGTTCACAAGTCGACTTGTTTTGGGATATAGCCAAAAATGTGCCAAAATGAGTCAAACCGAATTTCATTTGTATTACAAAAACAGCTAGTGTTTATTTGTGATAATCGGCAGACAGAAGTAGTGAGTTCCATTATATTGACTGATTTATTTTTATCTAAAGAGATGAGCTATCAACGAGCAAAGTTGAATGATTATGTAAGTAAACATGTGAGCAAACCTATGGAATTCAAACAACTGGAGTATTCGCTTTTTAGTTGAGAACAACATTAGATTATTTATTTTATAGAGTTTGTGGAGAATTTCCTGGTTTACATCAAGAAATGATCTTAGATAAATAAAATTAAAATCACTAAAATAGGACTCTTCAGAAGTGAGCATATAAGACCTCACCAGAGATCGGACCCAAGAACCTTCGTGTCGTGCAATGAGCCTTTAACCTTTGGACCATTGTCAAGTGTGAAGTAATTGCCAGACAATGGCATTGAAAGATGTTAAAAGTTCGTCTCTATATTCATACCAAAATAAACCATCTTAATAGTATAATACAATAATTTAAGAAGTGATTACTTTAGGGAATATGAAAAAGAAGACGGTATCAAAAACAGTTATCAGCCTGAACAATCTCTGAATGATCATTTTTTTTTAGAAATGTAAAATATACTCAATAAAGATTTTTTAATAAAATCAAAACAGGACATTTTAGAGAAAAGAGACAAATGATCAAACAACTTATACCAGTAAGTAAATTGGATTAAATAATCAGACATTTGATTGCATAATTATCCACCTCTATCAACCTAACAATATATCAAAAATATATGCACAGAAATACATTGTTTACTTAAAAAGAATAATTATCATCTATATGTTTAAATTAAAATATCTACATGCTTATACAAACAGTTATACACATGTACACATAAACATTTAAGAAAGGCGGTAAAGTTCAATCAAGGAAATAAACTCTCTATTCTAAATGTGAACAATATCTATCCGAAAACATTTATATTAGCTTTTTTTCTTCATTTGTTTTGTTAAGCAATCAACAGGAGACAGTATACACATATAGTGAAGTATACATGATTTATGCAAGAAGTATATGTTTGCTTGTGTGTGTGTGTGTGTGTGTGTGTGTGAGCGCACGCATATCTGCATGTAAATTAACTAGGGCAAAACAAAGCTGAAAAATTGACAAAGAACTATCTTAACATTCAATTATTAATAGGTTGAAAATAAATATAACAGTGAGAATTGTAGTATAAATAGAAATTTGTTACCTATTTTTAGTAGAAAAATTTATTTACTACCCTGATAACTCACACCGAAAACTGACTTCAAAATGGATCCCCTAAGGTCTCAATGAGAAGTTGTGGTTGGTAGGGTTCAATAGCACAATTGTAATTGTTGTTAATATTGTATGTGAAAAACTGTCTAGACTTAGAAATGTGAGTTTATGGTATTCGACTTAGTTGAGGTTATAAAAAATTGTGTTCGGCGCGAAACTTGAAAATCATGGATTTCATTTCATGTGGAATCGCTTCGAGACTAGATTCAATCAGTCATCATCAACATATAGTCTGAGACAAACGTGTTAGCTTAAAATGGCGTACCATAGTTCTACGAAATGATGATCAGCAAACAATCAAAATAATGAAGTAACAATTTTAATAATAAATACCAAAAATTGATAAAATGGTTCGAGGAGAACAAATTAAAGGAGGATATGTATGAAGGAATATTGTGACCACTTCTGAGCTCTTATCCAATGCCTTTAAATACTGACAGTATTTATCGTGCAAATATCAGTCAGGCTGGGTCTACTTACACAGGTCAGATAAACAGTTAATGACTTTATGGATTGTTGTCACGTTCTCATTTGCTCTTCCCTCTCTTCCTTCCAAATTCCAACTACATCAATTAACATAGCGAGTAGGGGTATGAAGTAGTCGGGCATATGTAGTACATATCCCAACTGCCATAATCAATGAAAATTTACAAGTGCATAAATCCATTCGTTATCTTCAATCAGCACCAAATGCCCAAACCACAGCATTGTTCACTCAATCTTTTCAATATATGGCAGCATTACTTTCAAGACATATGTAGTCAAAAACCAGCACCAAACACATAAAAATTTACCCATCAGATAATAATAATTTGAAGTTTTATACACAAAAGAAATCTTAAGATGTAATAAATGTTTACATTCATCAGTTCTTACCTTGTCTATCAGCTAATGAACCTGCTAACACTCTTTGAATAGATATAATCGGTTCTGTTACTGATTGTATGGTAATTCCATTGAAACTTGTTGGTGGTGATGAAGAAGTAGTCGGTGATGGTGTACATAATGCTACAGTAATACCTAAATTTTCACCAGGATGGTCACGTCTTAAATGAACAACTCTTGGTACACCTGGTTGTGGAAATTTCGGATGAATACTTTCACGATGATGATACTTATGATTATCCTTTAATTCTTTAGGTGTTTGACCATGATTTCTGGGTAAGCTTTGTGTTCCGTCAAGTGAATCTCGAAAAGGCTTAGAAGGATGGTGATGATGATTAGAATCGGATGAGCGTAAAGTATTATCTGAACCATGAAAATTTTTTATTTTTCGTGGTTCTTTTGTTGTAGGTGTTTTCTTTGAAGTAATAGTAGGACTATCAAGTTTTGAATTAGAATTAGTTTTAGTAAACAAATCATCTGGTGATTTTATCTTTGAAGTTTTAGAATGTCTCTTCTCAGACTGCCTACTAACATTTTCAGGAATAGTTTTTGGGGAAGTAGGTTTCTATAAACAGAGAAAAAAATTGATATAATACACGAATCCAGATTGTAATTAAGATCTTCCAATACTTCAAAAATATAACACACACGTTTGTGAGTTCAACTTTAAGTTAGACACTTCGATAAGATAGCTAGTGATACTAACACTTCATTGCTTAAACCAAAGTACATGGAGTAGGGTTTGAATATGAAAACGAATGTTTTAACAATTAAACTCCTCTCATCAATAGTTCAATAAGAAAATTTCAGTAGTTAATTAAAATTATCGGAAGAAAATATATAAAGCAAAATAGAGTTGATTGTTATAAATAAATGAATGCATAAGTAGTTTAGTAAGATTGAGTGATGTAACTTTTTAACACAATAAAAGTTTACAGCTTAAAATTTATTGATATAAAGATTTCAAATATTATTCAGTTACTTGAATCAAAGTACATGACGTAGTGGAATGTACGTTAGTATGCTTAAGCAGTTCCACACAAAATAACATCAACACTATATACAGTGATTGTTTAGTAATTAAGGAATTCGGTTTGGTGGTTGATTCGAACCCCATTACTCATTAGGTAATTGGGTTTGAGTGGCCGGATCGAGTTCAAACAAAAATATTACAACTTGAAAAAACACTACTGACCAGTATAAACTTTACCTGGAAATCCTCTAGAGTTACTGCCGGTCCCAAACCCGGATAAAAAAGAAGGGCTAGGGATGAGGTTAGCAACCCTATCCCGTAGAAAAGAATCTTGCTAAAAATGCTAATCAGGTAAACTTCAAGGTTTACACCAGTAAATTTTACCATCTAATTAGATTTATTCATCTCAATCTCATTACAGATTATGAATTTTTCAAACACTTCATATTTTTTGCAATTATTAATCACTGATCCACCGCCTCAATGAAGACATTTTGAACAATATTTTCTTATGAAACAAACTTATTCCATTAAATCCTTGATAGTCTAAGTCAAACACAATACAAACGATCAGTTAAGATTTGATTCAGTTCGACCTATTTCTTTACTAATCATAGTTTCATAAGTGCGATTCTCAACTCGACCTAATGTGTCAAATAGATCACATACTTTGCTGTTAATAGTTTTTCTAAAGCCATCCTATGGGATAATTTCAAAAGTATGTATACTCTAATTGAGTCGTTCCCACTTTGAACTGTGAATATGGTAAATGTCTGATTTTTTGGTTTTTCATAAAGACAGATGAAAATAATTGACTATTCCAGAAGTAAAAACCATGGTTTATGGCAATAGAATTACAATCATTAGATCCCAGATTCAAACTTTTCGGCATCTGTTTTGGTTTGAGCAGTATTTTAATGTTATTTGATCTTGTGTAAGAAGGTATGGCTAAAGACTGAGTAAACAAACTTGAACTTGGTTACTAGTGAGTCGTGTCAAATTACACAATAATTACCAATTGGTGAGGAATAATTCAGACTGATTCCTTGAAGATTTACTATGTCATTTATGTCAGTTAGAGAGCGATAAGACCAAAATCAACAAAACTAGGGTCCATGAAATGTTTCCCACGGATACCCAGCATCTTTAGCAATCCTGTCTATCCACAGCTAAAGTAGGGTTCCAAGAAATTGGCTCTAAAAATAACACACGTCACCTAGTCCTAGGGAAGCCAACTGGTTTCGGTAGGGTTTGAAAAGTAGGAAGCCAACACATCAAAAAGATTGGGCACAAGCGGCTGACTTTTGGACTACACAGTCATTATCATAGAACGTCAAAACTACTTACTAATCCAGTTCAATTCCTCAATAAGTATCCTTCAATAGTATGTACAACCAAAAAGTGACAACTAAAAACACTCACTTCAAACAGAAATTAAATTTTCTGGTTACAAAGTACCATGACGAGACAACAGTTACAAATAGTAAACTTAGCATTTGGATTGTGGCTTAGAAATGCTCACTTATGGAGTATGAGTGACTTGCGGATCGCTTACTGAATAACGAAAACTCATAACAAAAGTATACCTTATATGTGAAAATTATATTTGAAATATTCTCAGCGATTGAAATTTAATTAATTCCAACGTTTCGTCCAGCTAACTTGTCTGGACTTCTTCAGGGTAATAATCAAAATCAAAATTATCAAAGAAATATATAGCTTTTTAACAATCAGGATTATACTATGTTAAACCAATCGTATTCGGTTGTTGATTTTTTGTAAAATCAAATATAATTTTCACATATAATGACTTCTCTATACTCGGCGCTCAATTACTGTCAAACTATTCGTTCTAATCTTGACGAATATTCGTATAAAAGTATACCTTTCTATTGTAAAACAAAGAAATTACAAAGCGCATTTATTGATCGAGGAGATGGACGCTGTTTATTTTTCTTGAACAGGTTATGAAGTTACTACTACATATGAAGGGAAATTCAGCAAAATTATGAATGATAGTATGTTTTAATAAAAACCACCAAAATTACTTGACATATTGAGTCCCCTAAGAATATAGTTTTAAACAAAAATTGTCTGATTAACAGATGTTCAATATACAATACCCTAGATATGGTTAGTCTAAGATATTTAAAACTTAAGTTAGACACCTGGTTTCAAACTCCATCAACAAAATTTTAACCGTACAAACACCTAACATATTTAAGACAAATCTATTTTTGCTTAGTCTATCAATCAAAGATCTTGTTTATTGTCAGCGAACGAACTAATGTCAGACTACTAAACACTTCTTAGTCGTCACAAATCTTCTAGTGTTGGAATTCTGAATAGAAAATAAAAATCGAAAAGTATAGAGGGAATGTTGCTTCCAAGAATTGCTGATATTCCGAAAGCAAAGGTATTCATAATATTAATGGTAATCTTGAGATTTCTAGAAACGTCTGGAAAATATGGTAAAATTGGTAACGAGATCGGTATTTGTCCAGTTAAATGGTGGCAACACTACCAGTCGATTTCTCGAATTCTATAGAACGGTGATTGCTCAAAGTATTTTCATAACTTTCAGTCGTGAACAAGATAATCTCTGGTGTTGTTAGCATTCTTCTGAAATTCGGAAACTTTCTGAAGGGATTATCGAAGGTTTCCAAACACATTCCACAGCTTATATATAAAATAAACAATATAATGCAACTTCATCCACCACGTACATGTTTATACACTTATCTTTGAGTCAAATCTTATTGTGCATGAAAAGGGGACTCAATGATGCTTACTGGTTACTCATACCAATGTAAGTCAGACAGAGTTTGAAACTGTCAGTAAGTAGCTGGAAGTCAAATGCTTTAACCGTAAAGCATCAGCTCACGTATTTATTTTCCACAAGTCACGCTTAAAATATCATTTTATCACCTCAAACTTGATACACTTTAATACATTTCATAAATAAAATCCTAATAGTAGTTCTTTGAAGATTAAGAAATCCCTCTCACCAAAATAAACCATGATTAACTTACTTGTGTATCCGAAGGTATAGATGACGTTACTCGGTCTAAACATTCTAGTGATTTATGAACATATTTATCCTTTGAATAATTTATTTCATTTTTCCCGATTGATAATTCAAATTGATTAATCATTTCAGAAACAGATCGATGTGAGTTATCAAATTGGTGTTTGCCTTCACTATCCAAATGATTTATTTTATTCACATATTGAGCATTTTCAATATTATCATCAAGAGGAGGATTGTCATCAACATCAAGTGAAGTATTGATTTTATTCACATGATAAACATTTGGAACTGAATGAGTTTTTAATTGTTCAAGATTTTTCATTATAAGTAAATCATCTTCATTATTGCATGAATTTCTATTTGATTCTGTATGATTTAATTTATAATCTAAAGATTCCATGGAACTTTCTGATAGATCAGGTTTGTAGTGATGATGATGATGATTTTTCAGATGAACATTCATGGAGTGAGTTTTGTCATTTCGTTTGGATAATTTATAATGTTCTTCATCTTCTTCTGTCCCTACCCCTACTTTTGATGAGTTCTGTACATTGAGGAGATTATCATCAGAATTCTTACATAATAATTGATCATTATTCTTAAAAGAAACGAAGAAAAGCAAATATTATTGGAGGTATAGATTCAGTCATGGTTAGTAATATACTATTCATAATAAGACTTACCTCGAAAGGAATAATAGTCAAATTGAAATCTTCATTCACATATCGATAATTAGCAATATCATCGTAAGCTACCAATAACTCCTACAATATATTGGAGTAATTCAGAGAAAAAATATACCAACGTAACATAATTCATTGAAAAATAATAATAATACAATCGACAAAATAAACCTGATATATATTACGTTACTAACGGAGAGATTATTCTACACTAATCTGTTACTGGATAACCGATATTATGTAATTTATTGCATAAATTTGACTATATTCTACATTAATCAAGTTGTTGTGTATCAACTGGGCTAGGTGACCACTCCAATAACACGTTGCTATTTATTTGCTTCTACAACACTGAAAGGAGATGATAGAATGTTCTGGACGTAGATTTCGTATAGCTTATGATTTATCATTAATAAAAGAACTAATAGTCCAACCAAGCAGTAGGCCGAAAAGATCAACAGCAACGTCAATGAATGTGATATTAGGAAATGAGGGCATTGAATCTTTCAATAAGGCAGATAAGCCTTGTTGATGAACGCAAACCAGCATGAAACCTAGGAATAGTGCCTTCTGTCAACGACTTTTAACGAAAGGCATCATTCTACTCCAGATCTTGAATATATGCTACCAACAAAAACGTTGACTAGCACAATAAACATCCACGTGAAAAGAAAAAAAACACTTACTCTAATATGAATATCAGCCAGTAGGTCGTAAAGTTCATGAGCATGTGGTTGATCTTTTTCCCGAGTACGCATAACAAATTCTTCTAAATCAGACCATAATTCTGACAAAACTTTTAAACTATTTCTTAATAACTGCTGAGGAGGTCGTAATCGCTCAATAATTGACTTTGAGTCATTATCACCAATACAATCAACTAACTAGATGATATTTGGAGTGAAAACAGGCATAAACATTTATATTTACTAAATATATATTCATAAAAGTTACGGCATTATGCTATAATAGCTCAATAATGATTGATTCCAGTTTTAGTATATCAGTCAGTCAGTATATATAAGGATTGAGGCTGGCGATGGACGCCAGGACGAGCATTTCATCATATTCGGTGCTCGTCAACTTGATCTACTTGCATCGTATAGTCGATATTTATTCTGAAATTCGAAAATAATAGTCATCAATCCAAACGTCAATGCGTTATCGTCTAAAGTAAATGGCTTGTTCAGTTAAGCTATTTTTGAAGATTTGCTGAATTCTATGGTTCGCATCATGAACTAACATACACTAGAAGGTACTGGATTGTGATTTTTGTATATCATGAAAACTGGCTGAAGCTGAAAATATAGACAAATATACATTTCAGTTTAATTATCTAAGAATATCACTACGTCTGTATTCAATGTTTCATATATATAACTTCAGTTAGTGAGACAGGTATCATCAAAGAGAATGGATGTTCTTGGGAAATATCATGAATTGATCGAAACTATAAATGTAAATCATAGAATTTTAATTTAGTGGTTTATAAGTGTGCACAGTTGACATCTGTCCATAAAGTTATCAAATTTTAGTCAGAGGCAGGTTGGTGGACAACGATTACCTGACTGGGGTTCTCACTATAACTGCAATTAGAGGCTGAAGACATTGGATGAGATGGCTGACGACCGATTACAATAACTACACTTAATCCTGTTATGTCCCGACAAGAATAATGAATGGTAACTTTTGGGATCCATTTATGGATCAATACTAAACGTATATTTCTATTGTATAATTATTAAGTAACTAAACCATGCATATTCATATTCCTCTTATTATAAGCTCTATTTTGACCCACAAACTATTATTATACATCTTACCATTCTTGAGTTATACGCAGTATATTAATTATTACCTCCCACATTCACAACCACTTTTGGCCAAATATTGTACAAATGTTATTTTCTATTTTATGGTACTTTGTGGTCTGTTTGATTGGTATATAAACTCAGCATGTTTGAAATATAATGATTCATATTGCAGAGGCTCGGATTGGTGTTCTGGACTTAACTGGCTAGGCTAAGCGGAAAGCAGGACCAGTGAGGAATCTAGACTGCTCATACGGGTTTACGCGTCATTGATCTGATCGATAAGTCACTGCTCCCCAATTGGCGGTGTCATTACGTATACATTAACGGGGCACACAGCCCACAAGTTATAACAAATCTTTACTTTGATTCCGATCATGGGTTATAGTATCCCTTCATATTTACCTTTCAATGGGGTCATTTCAAATTATATTCTCGATTTTTAGTCTTTCCAATTATGATTGCTACCAGATTATATAACTTCATTTCCTAATTTCATCTTAGCATACTAATTTAATTCGAGAACTTGGGGCAACACACATATATTCTAGGATCTCAGTTGGTTATAACTAACTGACTGCTGGTGAATCTTAAACTAGGAAACCACACCTGTCTAGTACTCTTTAGTCTTCAATGCTCCTTTTGCTAAAGTCACATTCCGTCAGCGAAGGTATTATTGAATTCTGATTAAAAGCAAACAGAGTAAACAACGCGACGGTGACATTACTTACATTGAAGCAATGACGTAAAGATGAACGTTTCAAATATTTACGCAGAAAAATTAAATCTTTGTCATCAGTGATAGGATCATTGCTGTCATTCGTATCAATTTTTAGATGATTGGTGACAAAAGTGGAATCATCTAGAAATCGATTAATCACAGACAAAGCATCTATAAAATAAAATAGGAAACATGAAATAATGTATAAAAAGTCCGAAAATGAAATAAAGATTGACAGTTGTGAAAAGCATGATTGATTATGTGAGAAATTGAAAGTTGTGTCTTCTGAATACATGTAAAAGATGATAAGATTTTTAAAAAGAGTGTGGATAGTAAAGAACAACTTCAATTTGTTGCACAAAAGTTAGCTAGTAGTCATAAGTAACGGAGATTCTGAAATATATGGTTCGACCCGAGTCGGTATACAAAAACAGGATGATAAAGCAGTTATAAACTGCTAGATGACAGGATTAAAATATATGACCGTATTTCTTAATGATTAAACTATTTTGAGAAGTGCTTCCGTCAAAATGTTTGAATTTTTTAAAGGTAAATTTTATCTGGAACTAAAATCGATTGGATCAAGTTTGAAGTCAAAAGTATGGATTACTGCTTTCCAGATCAGAAATCAAAAGTATTAATGCTGGTTCTAAGCACGTATAAAGAAGGATTGGGCTTGGGGCTAACAATTCTATTCCGAAAAAAACCTAGCTCAAAAATACGCTAACCGGAACAACCAGCTAAAAGGCATTTTGGTCATAAGTGAAATGAAAGTGTCCAGTTTTATACGAAGTGGTATCGTGGAAACGCTTTCCTGAAGAACACTGGAAGAGACAAAAAGAGTACTTTGGTGCTCAATAGGTTTTAGTATTTTCACTTCTCTATGGAAATGATATTTTAAGTCATAGTTTTAGTAAAATAAAGTACAAATGAAAATGATGGAGTGAATCTAAGCTAAAATACTTTCTTTTTTCAAGCAAAGCATATTCGATTTTAGGTTAGATGAATGTTAAAAAATATGTTTTTATGCATTAACCTTATTTTAAACGAATTGTTGCGCAAATACATTGACTGTCGTGAACTTGAGGTAAGAAGATACAGTATGACAGTATATGTGCAATATTCTCATGAGTTACTTCTTCAGAGAAGAAATACATATTTTTCTTTGGATGAAATCCATGAGCAGTGGTGGTCAACTTGAAAATATATAGACCACATTGATTGTCGAGTTATTTCGATGTAAAACTGAGGACAATTATGTAACATTCAAACAATATAACAACAAGAGAATCCGAGAAGAATAAGTGACGATTATGGACCTCAAAAATCCAAAATCCGAGAGTAGAAGCACGAATCAATAAACCAAATAGACATTTACTTCCAAAGTAAAGCATGGGGTGAATTATTGACTACCAAAATCTCGAAGGATTTATTTAATTTTGATGCATAAGAACCAGACGACGTTTTAGTAATGTTTACCAACTATCTAATGTGGAATCGTAGCTAAGACTACATTATTGAATCCCCAACACCTAAACGTTATCAATTACAACGTAAATCAATCTGTGATATTGATTAACTTAATTGTCGATTTCATACTAAAACTAATAATTATAGTCAGAGTAGAACTTTCAAGTGATCTCATTTGGATGTGATGAGTGAACGATGTTGGGAAATCCTTAATTAAAATCAAAGGAGAAAAACGACTGTCCAGTAGTTATAAAGTTTAACTGATTATCCATATGAGATCAGTTCATGATGAAGCTTACTTACAAACAAGAATTAAGCCTGATAATTGGGTCCAAATCTCATTGGCACCTGCGAGTGACCTGTGAAATCTGAACTTTCCAGTCACCTTTAATAACGTTTACTTTTGTGTTTAGCGTTTCGCATAAAATCATAAAATTTGGTCAAGGAAGAAAGTATCCTGCTGACAAGCAGTCTTCACACAATTCAATTGGGGATTTGCAACAATAATTTAGTACTGTGAACAGTTATCGCTCGGCTATATCCGTAACATTTTACACATTATCTACCGATCAACACATATATTTTCACAGACTTCACGATCATTATTAATAATTATATAACACACGACAATATCGTAGAGTTCAGATAAATATTCCGTGTAATATAACAATTATAAGTTGGTGTCTATGACAGAGGAGTGTGACATTATGGCACCTATTAACGATTAGAGTACAAAAAGAATTAAGAATTATGCAATAACTAGCGCACATATTATATCATATCAAAGTAGATAAAATCAATTCCTTTTAACCCTATTGTGTTTATATATGTGTATGTTGAAGTATAATGAAACATAATGATAATCAATTAGTCCATTTTAAATGAAAGAAAGTATTCAACTATATAAAGCACAAATGTTAATTTGGCATAAAGATCGGTAAAGAAAATTTTAATTTTGTTGTTACCTATCCACAAGTATAGACATGATAAATTTTAAAAACAAGGACATAACAACTCACCTATTTACTTTAACACACATACAACTACAGGTTAGTGATAGAGGTATGAGGTTAATTAGCGTAGACCAATATTATTTATATTGGATACTACCGTCATGTCTACACAAACAGACAGATGTTTAATATCACCATAATAGTAACCATTTAATCTATGAATGTAGCACACACACATATGACTGAAATAATCATGCATAGAGTTTCAACATCAGTTAATCGAGATAAATGGTGGTTGAGCATAAGTAACAGATGTCTAAACCATATAAGTCTATGTAGATTCATCATCTTATCAATCGATCTGGTATTTTTACCTAAAACTCTGAGCTTAATCTCATCATTACTAGCTCGACGATTCTAATAAACGCAAGCAATGCATAAAAGGCATCTGTGTTAAAAAAACACCAACCTACGAAAATAATTTACTTTTACAGACCACGTTTTGCAATCGTGACGTAAGACAGTTACAGTTATTTTGTACTAAAATGCATTTGGTTGCCCCAACCTGTCTTCACACTTACTACAATATAGTTGATTAGTTTCATTTTCTGATTTAAATTCTACGTTAAAATTTTCACTCCACTCAAATCTCAGTTAATAGTGACGTAATACAACATATGACTAATTCTATGGGACAAATTAAAAAAAATACAGTCACCAATCAATTCATACTACTTTCAAATTGTAATTGTCATATATCGATTAATATTGATTTTTCATATAATTAAACAGGAATCCCATGAGCGGGATCGTGGATGAGCATTGCTAAGGAGTTCCATAATAGAACGAAACGACCGTCCACTGTTTCCAGGATTTCAATAGTCGTCTAACATAAATCGGTTCATGATCTCAATCAAAAATATAATAATCTCCACAACCCCATACTGATAATTAAATTTAATTACAATGTGTTCACTACTGACTAGCTTCGTGAAAGAATTTTCAAAGTTCTAGTGAGAAGCCGTGACCAGTGAAGCTAATCCATGTCAGGTAGAGACAGGTATCTCCTTCAGTACAACGGAAGATGGCCGCGCAATTTCGTGGATTGGTTAAAGTTAAACATTAACACCATTGGATTCCAGGTCAGTGGTCTACAGGTTAAGCGTTCGCGCGCGAGACCGAAGGCCCAGAGTTCGAATCCCGAGGGTGGCATCGTGGATGAGCACTGCTGAGGAGTCTCACAATAGGACGAAACGGCCGTCCACTGTTTTCAGGCTTTCAACAGTGTTCTAACATCAATTGGTTCATGATCTCAATTTGAAATAAAACAATTATAAATTGAATGTTCAAATTAATTAAAACAGAGAAAATAGACATGTCTATATTCATTTAATTTTTAAATAAAACAAATGATAGTATAACGCATAGATAAAAGTACAGTACAAGCACATACACACGCAAATAAGCATGCACAATAACAGTATGGATTAGGAATAACTTGGTCAAATAAGACGAACACGCAAACATTTATCTTTCATTATATTATGCAGAATGGTGATTTAACACACAGAAACGAGACGATAGTCATTCAATTTGAACATATTAGTTGATAATCAGTACAGTTGATTAAAAAGTGTAATATTGAAATATAATCAGTAAAGTTTCAATAAAGTATGATGAAATTCTAGAAGATATTTCAATAAAAAAACTCAGTTAACATGAATTAAGCGGATACCCAATGCTTACAGGTTTCAAATGATCAGTTCAGAATTCCAATGAAATTCAACAATCTCCATAACCTATACTGATAACTTAATAATATTGTGCTTACCACTGTGATGTCTAACAGTTGAGGATTTTATTATAGTACGCTATTGATAATGGTGAAGGATGGTTTGACTACGTGTGTACAATTAAAAAATCCCACCCCAAAAAAACTTGTATTAAATATAGCTATTTAGTGCCTTCATACTCGTTCCTGTTTTCAATAATTTCTCAGCTGATGTCAGTTTGAGATAATGCACATCAAGAATATTGCTACAAATCGCCTGACTGAAAAGTGAACTTAAGTTTGAATCAAGTATTCTACTAAATCAGGTGAAAAAACGAAAATTTTAATTTTAATCATTTGTTTATTTTGCTCTATTCAACCCACGTAAAAACTGTGGTACAATAATAGGGCACCGAACGAAACAATAATATTGTGAAGAAACTAATGGTAGATGAATAGTACAGGCTATGGATAAATAAGTGAAAAAAAAATTTAATAAGATAGACCAAACAATTGAAAATGAAACCAACAGACGTTTCTTCCATTCGACAAAATTCACTTCGCTTTTATAAATAGTGTAGCATAAAGCTACTGTAGAATCGCCACTGCCTTCTATTCTGAATCATTTATGAGATTTTCTTAAGTCAGTCAGTCAGTTACAACGTAGGACCAGGCACATATATGCATCGGTCCAAGTTGCCAGACCTCATTGGCACAGCAAGATGAACACTGGATTCATAAAAGTAGTTAATTCAGAGGTGATAATATATAGAAGAAAGATCGCAATAAGGATATAGTACAGGAAGAAAGAATTAGTTCGTAGAAAGATATGAAGCAATTTTAATCTCTTAGTTTAAGGGAAGACAGAGGGTATACACCGACGCCATTGTGATCGATCCTGAGCCATGTCACCCAGAGTTTCCAACCATTGGTTACGATAGTCACGCGGACCCCAACCTAGTAGTCTGCATTTACCAACATGGCTAAGACTGGAAGTTAGTGACTTCAAGCACTGGTGCCAGGTTTTGCCTTGACCGCCCTTAACTATATTTTCTTACGAGATTAAGTTGTCCATTTTGAGGACCCAAACCGGGAAGCCATGGTGGACTGATAGATGTCATTCCTATACAGCTTTTTGCATAACTAAGTACCATGTCATACACTGACGATATCTCCGCTTTTCCACTCAGTTCAGGCGTCAGTAAAATAATATGTGATATTGAATCCGCCGAGATAACATTAGTAAAATATGACCAAGCTAATGAAGTTTGTGATTGAAGATGGTGGCAACACTAGGATTATTCTAATCAAATTTATATACTGTTCATCTTCATAGGGCATTCTATGTAATCTAACTTTTCCATCTTATTATAATACAATTATAGTAACGTAAGATTACGAAGGAAAATCATTCAATTTTAAAGAGAGCAAAACGCGTGCCAATATAACGAATCATAGTGGAAATATCTGTCTATCGATTCGTGCATATTTGTTTAGAACTTTTTCACGTTTAGACACGGGATTAGTGAGGTGATATGACGGGGACAATATTTAGAATGATTAATCACTTGTTTCATAGAGCCAATATCAATCATACAGTCAGTATCAACTGAATAATTTTCATATAAATAACAGTTTTAATCCTCAATACTACACATAAGCGATAATTCAGTGGATCAGTAATTCTATCCAGTGATTATGATTCATTTGGAATTTTTGGGAATTCGTTTCATGAAAAAAAAAGAAGCAGTTATTCGAGCAATTTGATTGTTCAAGAGAGAAATGACAAGGTTTGTAGAATAAAATCATATCATTTTAGATTTGTGACCTCAACATCAAACATTGCTTCAAATCAATAAAAAAGAAACATTAAGAAATAAATATTCCAACTAAGTTTTTTTTGTCATCCTATAGGGAAAAGAACAATGTTGAAGATATCAAATTCTAGTCCCTTGCGCTATACAGATTGTAAATAACACTTGAATGAATGAGTTTTTATTATAGTATACGTTTTTTTTAAAATATTAAACGTGCAGGCAAATCAATTTATCAAAGGTTCATAGATTAATAAGGGAGTCGATAGGCTAAAATAAATAATTACTTCTATATTTGATCGCTCAATATTGTTGTCTTATAAATTCAATCGCCCTAACTCTTTAACATTTTTGTTCATAAAGATTTTGTGGGTGATGTTCAATATCTATAAAACTATTCAACAGATTTAGAACACAACCTTTTGTGTGAATATTTTCTCACTCAGATAAATGAGATTAAGATATTGTCAAGATTACAAAAATGATAATAAGCCTTTTAACATTAACTCAACACTACCATAAAAAAAACACTATAATCTGACAGATTTAATTAATTCTCTTTTGAGAAATAATTATGATTGACAAACTCTTTGTTTATTGACCGGAAAGTAGATTCAAATTCGTATGGTGATTGTTAAAAATTATTCAAGTTTGTCCTTTTATACTGTGCATATTTTATGCATTTTTCAGTAAGAAATCTGTGAGAAAATATGACTAATGAATAAATGCGATGATGTAATAGAAAAATTATAATACGAGGTTAATAATAATGACAACAATAAAAAAGATTATGTCATTTCGACAGGGGATGTACAAAAAGAGTGTCAAATAAATAAACTAACAGTGGATTATATACTTTGTGAGTGAAAGTAAAATAATTGAAATGTTTGTTTTTTTATTAGGATGGGAATCTCACGGATCCAGAATCATCAAAGCATCATTCAAAGCAAAGAAGGAGGGGATCACAATGAATATTATCCAATGTTATGCAACCACCAATGACAGCAACGACGACATTAAAGATCAATTCTACGAGCGCATGCAGTCAATCATGGAGAAGTGTCCAAGAAACGACCTCACCATTTTGATGGGAGATCTAAATGCCAAAGTCGGAATAGACAACACCGGATATGAAAATATCATGGGACGACATGGACTGGGTGAGAGAAACGAAAATGCAGAAAGATTTGCAAATCTGTGTGCATTCAACAAAGTGGTCATAGGAGGCACAATATTTCCACACAAACGTATACAAAAAGCTACATGGATCTCACCGGAACACACTACAGATAACCAAATAGATCATATTTGTATCAATAAAGAATTCCGAAGGACAATGGAAGATGTGAGAACCAGGAGAGAAGCTGATATAGCTTCAGATCACCACCTAGTTGTGGCCAATTTAAAACTGAAGCTAAAAAAGAACTGGACAAGTGGACAAACAGCACTACAAAGGTTCAATACAGCCTTCCTTCGAGATACTGACAAACTCAATGAATTTAAGATAGCTCTCAACAACAGGTTCCAAGACTTACAGGATCTACTGAAGGAAGAAGAAACTACTATGGAGGACAACTGGAAAGGTAACAAAGAAGCATTAACTTCAACGTGTCAGGAGGTTCTGGGTTTAAAGAAGCATCATCATAAAGAATGGATCTCCATAGAAACACTGAACAATATCAAAGAAAGGAAGAACAAGAAGACAGCAATTAACAACAGCCGAACACGAGCAGAGAAGGTCCAAGCACAAGCTGAGTACATAGAAGCAAACAAGCAAGTGAAGAAGAGCATTAGAGCCGACAAGAAGAAGTACGTGGAAGAACTAGCAACGACGGCGGAAAAAGCTGCAAGAGAAGGAAATATGAAACAACGAAGAAACTAACAGGGAAGTATGGTAAACCAGAGAGACCGGTCAAAGACAAAGAAGGCGGGCCAATCACCGAAATTCAACAACAGTGGAAAAGATGGGTAGAATACTTCGAGGAACTCCTGAATAGGTCGGCTCCAACGAATCCACCGTACATCGAAGCAGCACACACAGATCTTCCTATATATGTCAATCCACCAACGACGGAAGAAATCAGAATAGCGATCAGACAAATCAAGCACTGAAGTCAGACATCGAAGTAACTACAAACATGCTTCACCTTCTATTTAAAAAGATTTGAGAGGAGGAACAAGTAAGTAAGGAAGTTGTATTTTATTATCACAACGAGAGATGTTATCTGGAGTAGAAGTAGGCTGGATAGTTAGTAATGATTTAGGTGGATCCATTCTTTAACTTCCTCTAAATTCTGAGCTTTTGAATTCCTCATAACTTTTTTTGTTTTTAATTTATTAATTTGTGTTTTCTTGAACCATATATTCGATGCGTAATACTTTTATTCACCATTTATACTGTCACAACCACAACTATTCTGGGATTTGCCCTGACAATTTCATGTCGCTGTACAAATGGAGTATGGCAACTTAAACCAATGTACATATGTACCAGGTTCTACATTTCAACTGACTGACTTTCAAAACGAATACGAGAACAAATTACAGTACAGTTTGATAAGAATGAGATGAAAGAGATTAAGAGCTCATTACTTGAACATTTAATCGACCTTAATCACTCAGCTAGTCCGCATGTTGACTTTAAACTTTTTTATAGAATTCATCTAAACCTGTCAAGATACTTTTATATCCAACTTCTTAAAATACCAGAAGCTCTTAGCATCCATGAAATAAATTCCAAACTCCATATTCTATAAACGCAAAAAAAGACTTGTGAATATAAAGTAAAAAGAAATCTGGATCAGAAAATTGATAAGAGAATGAATAGAAAATAAAACAATAAAATAAAACATATGGGATGAAAAAAAAAGTGTGTATATTTGGCAAGATATACATAATTTATAATGAAGTAAATACTCTAACAAAACATTAATGTTTCCTTGAATAGAATAATACAAAATAGTTAAAAGTACAAGTACTTTAATAATTAAAGTTACTGCCATAAAATACATACAAGAAATGATTAAAATTATATATAAAATGTAATCAGCGTTTATTCATTCTTAGTTAAGTTGTTTGAAAAAAAGCACTGAAGGAATCAATAGTAAAGAGGAAATGACAATGTTATTTAAGTTGACTAAGAACACTTCAATAGTAAATACATTAAGTTTTAAAACGAGAAGAAATGAACAAGGTGTAGAGTATAAAATTAGGCAATGGAAGAGAAATATTAATACGGGGATTATAAGCACGAAAAAAATAAGATTGAAAGATGGAGAATTACAAATGCCCCACCCCAACTCATGATTTAGAGGGAAGAACAGTTAGCTACCAGCCCTGAATAGAAAGCCTGCACCTTACGATATGGTTCAGAACAAGAGTCAATGATTAACAATTTAACTGTTATAAGAGATGCTTATAAAAGTCTAATACCTCTAGATTTTCATAGTTTAAATAATGAACCGGTCTTAGCAAGACCAACATTCACGTAAGACATTGCATCGTGAGATGCTGGCTGAGTGGTCTATGGATAAAACGTTAACGTGCGAGGCCGAAGGTCGTGAGTTAAATCCCTCAGTTTCGTGGCCTTGAACACATGCTGATGAGCAGTCCTATGCAAGGACAAAACAACCTTCTAGTTTTATATAGTGATCCAATTAACATCAGTTCGTGATTTCAGCTATGAAAATACTACAATCTCCACAAAACGTCCTACGCTTCTACATAAATTGATTATGATATTAGCATTAGCTGTTCCAGTTTCCGTATTTATAGACCGAACGATATGTGCCTGTTATTCCAATCATTCAAATAAAAAGACAATGCACAACGTCAAATTTAAAATAATTTATATTCAAGAATAAATCAACAGCTTACATTGATTTCTTGGTTTCTTTACAATTGTTGACGGTACTCGCATATTTATTCTCTTCCGTTAGTTATCCACGATGACGACGGCGAAGACAACAACAACAACATCAATATTAAAGACAACAATAACGACACATTTACACAGTGGATTAATAGTGTTAAACCCTAATTAAAAACATTAGAAAAAAATAAGCGAAAGGAATAAAACAGTCATTTGAATACAAATAACATAGATAGTATTGAGATATAAAACGATGTGCTCACTAGTGATTAATTTTAAATTTGTATGAAAAGTTGAAGAAGGGTGGATTAGAGGTTAGATTGTACGAAATCCCCACATTAAGTAGCAGGTTTAAATCCCACTCCATCTACTTCGGTATGACAGACCTATTAGTGCATCGCTAGTTCTCATACTTAGAGTATGGCTTTAAACCAAATAAACAAGCCAGTACCTGATAAATGAATTGACAAATTAAGACTGAACTTGAAAATGAGGACCACTAAACTTTAACTTAAGGATTTAGAGATATCAAGCTCCCTTTGATCACATGTCGTAAGCAAGCATTGTTTATTCATTGCTACACGGTTTTGAAATAGTTCTCCAAATAAATCTTAATCGTTGATGAAAAAATTGCTTCAAAATAAACTAAAAACACCTTTACCATAAAACCATTTATCTAAATATAACGTATATATTAGGTGTTTTTATCACATTGACCCTTTAATTTTCAACCAAAATTATACATACTTCAAAGAAAAGAAATTACGAAAACGCTAGAAACTAATTTACACATTAGAAAAAAGGTTTCTATCTTCATTCTTTTTTTTGATGTCGTTTGTCCTAGTCAGGTTAAGTAGCAAAAACTTGAAAAAAAAGAAAAGAAAAATAACCCAACCATTTTTAGATGTGCATATGCATACATTATATGTGAAAGTTTATAAATTGTCATTTAGGTAATCAATCATCACTGGTCACATTACTACGTAAAGTAAATAGAGATCAAAGATACTAATGAAATAAATGTATACTTTAATTATCGCATCTTTATTATCAGAAGGGGTTTGTGGAGATTTCAAAAATTTCACAGATTGAAATCGTGAGTCAATTGAAGCTAGACAACCATGAAAAACCTGGAAGCACTGGACGGCCGTTTCGTCCTAGAATGGGAATCCTCAGCAGTGCGCATCCACGATCCCGCAACCCGCGAGATTCGAACACAGGACCTATCAGTCTCGCGCCAAGCGCCTAACCAACTAGACCACTGGGTTGACATCCAATGGGACTCCTTAGAAGTGCGTATCCACGACCCCGCACCTCGCGGAATTCGAATCCAGGACCTCCTGGTTTCGCGCGCGAGCACTTAACCATTAGACCACTGAGCCGGCATCCAACGGTGTTAATGTCGAACACATGACCTATCAGTCTCGCGCCAAGCGCCTAACCAACTAGACCACTGGGCTGACATCCAATGTTGTTAATGTCTAACTTCAACCAATCCACGAGGTTGCGCCACCGTATACCGTTGTCTTCAGTGAGCTGATATCTCACAACAGACCTGGTTGAACTCCACTGGTAACGGCTTCTCACTATTATTAAATTAATAATAACGATAATGATTAATAAAAGAAACTATTATTTACATTTAATCTTTGTAGAAAACAAAAATTACTAGGGTAAGAAGATATATAGCAGTGTCAACAACACGAAAAAAAAGTTTCTATGATACAATAAAGACAACAACAGTGATGAATGGAACTAAATCCAAGTGAAAACATACAATGAGAAAAACAAAAAAAAGTTAATTAATTAATTAATCAATTCGTTTTTATATTTTTGCCAACTTTTACATTTTACTTTGAGAGAAACAATGTAATCTTTATTCAAATTGATTTTCTAGTCAATTTATTTTATTATTTGTGGATTTTATTTACACATTGAGAGTAGTAATAACGGAGATATAATTATCGACTACAGATGAACATATATACATTCTAATTCAATATTCTTAAAATGATTTGTTTTACTGTATAAACTAAAGATCTTAACAAGTTGAAATCATGAGACAATTGAAGCTCGGCCACCATGGAAAACCTGGAAGCACTGGACGGCCGTTTCGTCCTGGTATGGGACTCCTCAGAAGTGCGTATCCACGACCCCGCACCTCGCGGGATTCGAATCCAGGACCTGCTGGTTTCGCGCGCGAGCACTTAACCATTAGACCACTGAGCCGGCATCCAACGGTGTTAATGTCTAACTTCAACCAATCCACGAAGTTGCGTCACCGTACACCATTGTCTTCAGCGAGTTCCTATCTCACAACAGACCTGGTTGAACTCCACTGGTAACGACTTCTCACTAGAACTCCAGGAGTGTCTCCTGAAGTCAATCACTAGTGAGATCTTAAGTTTGATTCCTGGTAAAGGTTTTATTTTTGTTCAACTGAGGATATTTTCAAACTAGAATGACAAAAATATTTAATATAGTCTGACTTTTCAAAACATCTCACTGGATAGTATTAGTCCTTAGTGAAATGTCTTTCAATGTTTGACAAATTGTACGAAAATACTAAGAGATTTGATTTCTTAAGTTTATAAGAATAAGGTAGGATATTGTAGCTAAGTGATAATTACTTATGAAAGGAACAATATAAAGAATTAACGGACACTTGATATAGACGGTGCAACTTTTAAGTACAAAATGATCGTTACATTAGCAACAAAAGCATAAAATGAATAGAGAAATAGTGCTCGATCGATACAGCAATCAAAATACGGTACATTTGTTTATGATCGATCTCATTCATTTTCTAATTATTATGGTCTTGTCACTTTTGTTTCTATTCAACTTATTCGCCAAACTTTTGTGTATGTATAAGATCTAGTGATATTTGATTGAATAAAATGTAGTAGATAGAATAGGATTCAATCCCACATTCTAGAGGACGAGAATTCAGTGTTTTAACTACTGAACTGCTGCTTTATTTGGCAGATGAGAGAGCGTAGTTAGTCATTTGTAACCCACACTGATGTTTACTATTATAATGACCGACGTAAACAGAATTTGTTATGCATATAAAAATAAGATTTTTTAAAGTAGACATCGACAGCTCCAACTATGTTTACAACATGTAAGGCTAAACCAAAAAGCTTATGCTGTGGATAGTTTGAAAGGTTTTGTTTACGTTAACATGGTTTCCTGTATCAATTGGGTGGACAAGTATAGAGCCATCATAACACCCAACGCTGGAGTAGATTACAAAAGACTAATTAAGCTCGAATGTTTTCCAATGTCTTTTCTATTAAAAGAAAGTATTTTCATTTTTTGTTGTCGCATAATCGAAATATTTTCCCATATTGCTCTATTTAACCTCATAGTAGAACACTATGACATTTTACTCCTTGTACTGAATCTTTATTCCACAATAAATAACTTTGGGTATCAAATTTTCTTTGTCTGTTTATTTTTGTCTACTATTGCCAGAAATGTCTTCTAGACTAGACAAGCAAAAAAGTCATAATGTGTTAATGCTAGACATAAAAAATATTTGTTTAAACCAGTGACCATGTTCAAAATGAGCAACGTAGTTATGAATAGTCAATAAGTTGTTAAACTGTAATTTAACAGTGTTGACATATGAAAAAGGACTTATTTAATCCAGTTTTTCGATCTTTCATTTAATTGGTGTGAATACAAATTCACTTTTAATCTTTCGTGTTACTATGATATAATCGTTATCTCAAAATTTGAAGTTCCTTGTATACCCACTCTAAATAAGTGACAATAACAAATTTAGAAAACTTGAATGATTACAGAGACGCAACCAATACAAAAATAAATTGTATCATTGATAGTAAAAAGAATAGATTTTTTAAAGAAATAGTCGATGATTTTAAACTCAAGATCTCAGGGAAGATAAAGAATGAATGTATGTGCACTATTTAGACCGATTCTAGATCATATAGCAGTATATCTCCAACCATTGGTTGCAACAGTCGCGCGGATACCAGTCCGGTAGTCTGGACGCGTCAACATAGCTCAGTCAAGTAGTCAATGATTGTATGAACTGATACCACATTTTCGACTGACAGCCCTTAGCTTTCTCCTAACATATTCCTACACCAGAAATCACATGTCGAGGTAGGTAATAGCTAGGTGTATGTAGTATACATCCCAAGAAACTTAGTCGATGAAGATTTATTATCTAGTCCATCATTTTGCAGTTGTCACCTAATACTTTGCATCCAACAAAGATACAAACTTCAAACGATTAACGTTTGATGATTACGTGCAAAATACTCAATTAAATACGATCGGGTGACATCACAAAATGAATCCAAGTTATTTTAAAAACAATAATGTATATACAAATTAAGACAACTGACTACCCATTATATAAAAATATTCATTACGCCATTCACTTTGTTGGTTATTTCATCGACCACGGATCTGATTAAAGTAGAAGATATTGCTTGACAAATTGGTAACAAGCGTGAGACCAACATTTTATTCTTATTGAAAATTTCTGAGTAATGCGTACAATCTCTCACTTCCCACTTGTTATGGTTTCGAAATCACAACGCATGGGCCATAGCAACAGATTAACGATGAATCCAAAAACCAATGTCTCGTAACTATTGATTTTGTTTCTTAAATAATAAAGTCCTTAGTCTCAAGTAATTTGATTTACTTATAATTGTGGTAACCTAGTAATAATGACACCCCATTAGGGTATCACGAGGTTAATCTCCACAATATAGTTCAGTAGTGTATTATTGAAGGTATTGATTTTAAGTAAGTAGTTTTTTTATATCAAGAAATGACTTTAAACTAAATGAATAATTTCGATGAAACTTAGTAACTGAGTTTCAGTCAGTCAATTTTCTGAACGAAAATCGAAAGCAACGATTGGGAAGAACAAAATTTCTTTGTAAAAATGAAAGTAATCGATAACAAACAAAAAGAAAACAGAATTAAGAGTTATTGATGAAAGTAAGATAGAGTTATTCCATTTTATATGAAGTTTAGTCAATAAGCTTGTTGTTTTTGCTATCGAATAGTATATATATGTAATTATTATTATTATTACGCCTATGCTGAGAGGTGGTACTCCTTGCAGTATACAATCTTTTTAAAACTCAATATATTTTCATCAACTTACTCAATCAGTCA